CACCTTGTGCCTACAAGACGAAGGATCAAGAATTTCGTTAACCTAGTAATTGAAAGGGAGCTATCTGAGAGCTGGCTTACCAGCTTCCTCAACCGCAACAAAGACACGCTCATCACAGCCTGGACCACCCCCATGGATAACGATCGCCATAAGCCCGATTCTGGCGAGAAGTATGGTCAGTACACTTCACTACATTACCCAACGGCTGGACAAGTAACGATCTTGGATTGACGTGGCTTGAACAGGTGTTTGGTCGCTACACCAAGCCCAAGAATGGGAGAAATTGGCGTCTACTCATTATTGACGACCACGGCAGCCATGTAACGAAGGATTTCCATCCACTACTGCGACAATCACAACATTCTACTTATGATCTTTCCCCCACACGCCACCACACGCTGCAGCCGCTTGACGTAGTCTGCTTCAAGCCTCTCGCACAAAACTACACCAAGCAGCTTGACCTTCGCACTCAGAGAACTCGGGGATGGGTACCCACAAAGAAGAGTGACCTCTTCTCGCTATTCTGGAAGGCATATGTGAATACTTTACAGAAACGTTGGTGTTGAAGGCCTTCTCCGCCACGGGTATACATCCACCCAACGCCAACGTTATCCTCGATAGATTCAGAACTGCAACACCAGAGACTGCTGCAACACCTCCAGAGCAAACAGCGCTCTCCTCTTCACCTGGAGAGCCATTGTGGCTTAAAGCTAAGTCACTACTTCGCTCAGCAACCAAGGGGGATGACGCTATAGCTGCTGATGCTCTAGCGCAGTACATCCACCGCCTTTCAGAGCAGAATCAGATACTCCAACAACAGCTTAACAGCGCGCAGGAGGCTTTAACTGAGAAAATGAAGATGAAGGACAAACATAGAGTGTTGCCTTTGTACGCTCACAATATCGAGTGACATGGCGGAGCAAAGGGGTGGAGTCCCTTCATCGAAGCAGGAGGCAGATGCACGAATGGATGTACAACAACAATATGAGGAGGAAATAGAAGCAGCAAAAGCTATCCAGCGCGAGCTCCAGCATACTCAAGAGCTACCAAAGCAGAAGGAGAAGGAAGACAATAGGCCAAGGCGTGATAGGGAGAAGGAAGAGAGAGGCCAGCTCAAGGCTGTGAAGGCTGCAGAAGCCGCCGAACGCAAGGCTCACAGAGAGCGTGATAAGCAAGCTCGCGACGCTGAAAAAGCTGTACAACTGCCCCAAAGAGGCAAGCGCAACGCTTCACAGGTGCAGCACCTAGCAAGAAGCAGAAGCGTGGTGGTGCAGCAGCTCGTAGTCGGCGCGTTGTTCATGAGCGCTCCCCGTCACCCTCACCCACATACAACAGCCGTGGCCGCAAAATCACTCCGCGCAAAAAGATTGGGTAAAAAGGTCTGTCGCATAGGTCTGTATAGTACTTCACTAAGTTATCTCGTGATAATAGCTATTATGTGTGGCATGATAGCCTCATGTTTGCGTGGTGTTGCAGGTGGTTGGGGTGCGGTAAAGCAGTTGCCGGACCAGCCAACAAGCGTGACAACACGCTTAGCGGCTTAGCACAATCGCTCACCACTCCACCCAGACATCTACCCTAACAGCTTCCACACCTCACCGTCTAGTGCTGCTATGCCCTCTACATCTTCGCTCAAGCGGATCATCTACCGCTAGTTGAAAGATGTCTCTGCATCCCCGCCTACCAAGTGCGTCCTCAACTGCCGTATCGTCATGGTTATGCTGACACGGATGCAGCACCACCGTTCTGAAGTACTCGTCCGGCTACAACGACTCAATCGCGCCGCGGCCGACCAAGCGATCTCGCCCAGCAGACATGGATTCGGGTGTTGGCGTCGTGGGTGACGATCAGGAGACGCCTTGCCCTGCCAAACGCCGTTGAGACTTCGATGGTACCTTTCATTTCTCGCCAACTCCGGCATCCAGGAGCGAGTCCATTGCGTCTGTTACTTCGCACAGAAGCAAGAGGCTCAGCCCTGTCAAACAGATAGGAGCGCCAAAAGATCTCGAACGACCGATCGTCTTTTGCGACTTCAATAGCGTCGACGCAGACAGCGAGCGATCAGATGTTGCGGCGATACGGACAGCAGCGCAAATGCTTGCTGAAGGTGTCGGTACACTAGAGTACGCCAATGCAGACATTTTCAATGCGTCAATCGCCGAACTCCCTGCCCTGGACAGGGTGAGGCTACAACGTCCATGAGCGAAAGATGTTTGTCAACCGCTCTACGGATCAACGCCTGCGATCCGTAATATTGCCAACATCGTCGGTGAGGCCTGCGTATGGAACACCAGTGCTGGAGGCGCCCGAGAATGAGTGGAATTTGGATGCCCAGAAGCCACTGCTCAAGCTTGCGCTTGCAACTAGTCGGCACTCCAAGGTGCTCTCGCTTCGCTCTGTGTAAGTTTGCCCTTCACCAACCATTTCAATTAGTGATGATCGACACTGATCATGACCAGGCAATCGGCTCGTATCGATCCTCCAGCTCTAAGCAACAATAACCCCCCTGGTCGCATCGTCGACTACGCCGTCTGCCTCGAACCCGACTTGACCATCAGCAATGCATACCGGACCCTACGACCCCTTGCAGCCAACACCAATAAGTCCTGAAACCACATTACCAACACGGCCTGAGACCTGCCCTTCACAATACACATCGAGACCAAGTCTGTTATGAAGTCTTGGACAGACAGCAAACCCCAGATAGGGATCTGGATGGGCGCCTGGCTGCGGCGCTGCGAGCTGCTGTGGAATGACGGCCGAGCTCCGACGGCAGTGATGGCGAAAGACTGGCCAGCAATGCCAGTACTCATCTCGCAGGGACATGAATGGCATATGCTGGTGGGAACGAAGACCAGCGAGAGAGTGACTATCAGGGAGCAAATCATGATCGGGAGTACAAGGAATGTGTGCGATGCGCTGAAGGTTGTGGCCGTGCTGCATTGGCTGCTGAACTGGGCGGAGATGGTTTTGTCAATCGTGGTTTTTGAAGCTAATTGCTAGGAAGAGGGATGAATGAGCAAAATGTGTCTGCATCAAGCGACATCGCAACACAGCCATTCCGCACATTGCCAAGTCAATCACACCCGCCGCACCGCAACCGTCGAGAAGCATCTCGAAGGGTCAACGTTGGCCAACAGTCAATGGAGTTTACGGAAGACCAAGCCAAGAAATCACTAAGCCGGCTGAATACATGACAGCGCTTCTCAGACATCTTGCAAGCCGGCGCATCAGCATGGCTGACTGGATGGAATGATTGGAAGACTGTAGTGGAAGAAGACCTGGCAGTGTGATGGAGGAGCTTCGCTAGGACACCGAAGAACTAAGGTTGAGGGTCAGCAAATGCGCCAACCACCTGGCAGATGTCAAGTTGAGGGGTAGACTCAAGGACCGAGATCGGAGGGATCCAGCTACGGTCATGCTCATCTTCCACGATGTAGGATTGAGCAGGGATGGTTGGATCGAGCCACTAAGTGCCATTACGGAGACCAGGTGGGACTTCAGCAGGTTCATCAAGACGAGCGTGAGGATGAATACGAGCCGTCGGCCAGATACTTTTTGCGCATGTGCAAGAACCCGTCGCGGTCTTTTTCTGTCTGCTCATCACATCGTGCTGCTGGGAGAAGCTTCTCAACTCCAAGTACCTGGACGCAATACACTATTCCTGCTAGCATATAAGAGTAGTTCTTTGCATTGCGCAAGCGTCTGTGAAGTTAGGTTGTACTTGGCTCTGCTGTAGAAAATTTACGGAAATATTTTACAATTTCTGGGCGCTGTTATACGGGCGTCTTGTGCTGTTCTTGCAGATGCTTGTTGAGATTGACGATGCCTAGAATATGATGCTATACGAGTCGCTGTGTGATTCAAACGACAAGGGTATAGCGCTATTCAACATCGCGCATCTGTCCTGATTTGGTGGAGTCCCTACTTTTGCGTTGACTCCTTAGATATCCACCCACCCACGGTTTCCTAGCTATGTACTCTCTAGGCTTCCTCGCTTCTCAGACTTTATGAAGACCATCTAACCTCTGAGTACCCCCGTCATAAAGCCTGTCTCATTAAATTTGTAGGTGTATTGGTTTACAATACAATAATTCGTTTTTGTGCTGGCCACCAGCTCGCACCAGGGCGTTGTGACGCGTGGGTCTTGGTTAATAGCTCGCTGTACGGCTCTTTTGAAGTTTGATTTGTGGTCAACGCGTCTTTAAGTTGTCTATCTAGTGCCTTGCTAACAGGCTCTCTACTTCGCTCTGCAAGTAGGTCGTTGACTATATTCCGCACTACGTTCTTTGTAGCGTTTATTCCTCTTGAGACAAGGCTGGATTTTCGTTGGACAGGCGCCTTCGCCTCTAGCTTGCTTAGCTTCTTTGATTTGGAATCTCAATCGCGTTTTGGAAGGGCTCCGTCGCGTCGGTCTCGGAGGGAGCTTTAAGGCACGCCTAAGGCTACAACAACGCGCCTTTCGCTTTCGTCACGATCTTTCACTGTAGCTTAGATACCAAAGTGCACTGTACCTTCAGTACAAGTCAGTTGCATGTTGCGTTGTGGTGGCATTGTAGTGTTGATCGAGCGTTAGGCTAATCTTGATGCGGTGGACGGGTTATATGGTTTGGACAGATTACTCGTGGACTACGTTGACTAACTCCAGAGTCTCGATCTCCCCGGATTTCTCAGTAACATACGTCTACCGCGTGCACAGATACGGTGCCGCTTGATAGTGGAGTACGTTGATAGTAGAAGAACATCGTCTGCCGCGCCGTTCACGTTCAACCATTTCCTCATTCGTTTATTCGTGAACGACCGTGTATCCCCTGTTCTGCCACCCTATCAGTTCTTTCTCGATATCTCTTTCTGAACATGGGAGACCGCGTTTCTTTTTGTAGCTTGCTCGTTGCCAACAAGTTCTGATCATTATTCCTGTGCACACCAATGCCAGACACAATAGAATACCAAGCAAACAGCAGCGGAGTCTAGGGAAATGGAGGAAGGCGCCGATAGACTGTGAGCTAGTAGAAAGGCCTTTTGATCTGTAAAATAGAGTTAGCTGTGCTTCCGAATCAATAATCTTTCGAAGTACTTACACGGCCGGAGCTTCTATGTAAGTAGGGCTAACAAAGCTGCGTGGAACAGAACGACCGTCACGACAGAAAACACCCCCGCCTCCTAACCCGACACATGTTCTTCTACCTGGGATGGAGTGACGTGCACCCATTCTTGGATTCGATGCCTATGAAGCAATTTATATGCTCTGAGGGATTCCGTGTTTCGAGAGAGTTTAGATTTGCAATGTGTGGTGTGACAGGAATCGAGCAGGAAGTAGCCCGCTTTATAAAAGCACAAAGGATGGCTAAAATCCCTTGTGCTTTCGACACTTCCCTCATAATGACTGCTTATTCTTCTCTAGCAATTGCCTCATTCCAGTGAGATGCCACAATGGAAGCTTTGTTTTCTAACCATGCTTACACGCAATTACCGCTTAGGACACACAAAGTGCAAGGTATGACTGTAACGAAGATCGCTCTTCTACTTACAACATCCTCAATTAGGTACAACCAATGTAATTTGTTGGTGGTATGGCATGATTAAAGGGACAATTCGGGAAATCACTCAATTCCTAAGCCTTGCCTTACACTGCTGGCCGGAAATGATTTCCAGTTCTTGCATTTTGTTTGCTCTCAACGCACGGCTATACCCCAGGACATTCACTGGAGATATGCTAGCGGTCTATGGAATCTTTAGTATAGCCAATCGTTTAAATTGGTCAATAAATCTCGCATCAAACGCTAGTGCAGCCGACTTATGAGTTCATGCTTCTGCATAGTCCGTGATACACCATGATCAGTCACAATGTTCACAGCGCCTGCTCATGTTGTATTCGATCGTGGCTACACGTTAGGGGTTAGCCGATGACGATGTTGTCAGCGTAAGCGTAGTGGTCCGCGCGAGATCGATAGTGCTATTCTTATGCCGCGCGTATCAGACCCCCCAGCTTTTGCATGCATGGAGTGGGGCATCGCGACGGGCGCTACAGTATGGTACTGTAGTGGTTGTGTTTTCGACACATCACCCACCATATCTTGTTGCACAGCGACATTCTTTCGCGAGTGGATGATGAGAGTAATACACGTTATTCCAAGCATAGACATATCCTGCTGACCCAAGGCTCCTGCAAGCACTTTCTTTGCCTAGCTTCCATGGCCCGTCATCCAATATAGCTCTCCACAGGCTGAATCTCGAATCGATATATAACCATTCTTTCCTTGGCCACTTTAAGAGATATACAACAGAATTCATACTCGTCCGTTTCACCAGCCAATACCGCACCGAACCAATCTTAGCCATCGCAACCACGTTCAGCATGTCCGTTGTTCCAAGTTCCAGCTTAGAAGGCAAAGTCGCAGTCGTTACGGGCTCAAGTAAGTTGTTCCAATATCGCTGTTTCGACAGAATAAACTGATTGATAACCTAGGCCGTGGCATAGGAGCAGCTATAGCTCTCGAGCTTGCCCAGCGTGGCGCCAAGGTCGCTGTTAATTATCTCAACAGCGTTAGTGACGCTGAACAGGTCGTCGAGAGGATCAAGGATCTAGGAAACGGGTCAGATGCCGCCCTCTTCCAGGCAAATGTTGACAACATTGAAGAGACTGGAAAACTGATGGACAATGTTGTTGCCCATTTCGGTAGACTCGACATATGCTGCTCCAATGCGGGCATCCACTCTTCTGGCCATTTCAGCGATGTTACAGCGGAAGATTTTGACCGTACCTTCACAACAAACACCCGTGCTCAGTTCTTTGTTGCACAGGAGGCGTACAAAAGAATGGAGGTCGGTGGCCGGATTATATTCACGAGTTCCATCACTGCGCAGGCAAAATCCATCCCCAAACACGCGGTATATGCGGGCTCCAAGGGAGCTATCGAGTCGATTGCACGTTGCATGGCGGTAGATGCTGGGGACAAGAAGGTCACAGTCAATTGCATCGCTCCTGGTGGTGTCAGGACCGACATGTTCTACGCGGGCCGAGATAAAGTCGTGCCTGATGACGAAAAAGATAATGTCGATGCGTATATCTCAAGACTGTCCCCACACCATCGCATAGGTGAGACTTCCGATGTCTCCCGCGTTGTTGCCTTTCTTGCTTCGCAGGATGGAGAGTGGGTGAACGGAAAGGTCATTGGCATTGATGGTGGAGCCAACATGTGAATTAAAACAAGCTTTAGAACACCCTCCTGTGATCAATCTGCTGCTTGGTAATCGAGAAACGCGCAAGAGATTTGGCGGTCGTAAGACAGCAACCAGAAGACATGATAGTGGAGGATACACAGCTGGCTATATATGCCCAATTCTGTCTTGTAGTTTACCTGCATACGTTCATGTAACTATCTGTAATTCTGCTGTCATCTCAACGTGGCGCGGAGCCCCTCCCTGCCTTTCGCTTTACCCGGAGTTCCACTTTCCCTTAAGCTACCTGTTATTGGCTGACATCGGCCTGCTGGGTTGTTTGTCGCGTAAGGACGGAGGTTTGGAAAGTTCGTCGGGCTCAAGACTACGTGATCGTACCACAACAGGAAAAAACAACAACTACAGCTCCAAAGAGCCAAGAGACCTCACATAAAGGAGCAAGCTCGAGTTTTCATACCTCAAAAAGCCGATAATTAGCGTGTAGAGCGAAATACACGTAGAAAGATAAGAGAGAATGAACCACCTGCATAACTTGAATCGATCAAAAATACGATATGCTATTGGCGGGATTATACCACGGTTGTTCATAAGGGTGAACCTCAATCACTACTGACTGTAATCAATCTGCCTATTGATTGATTGTTGCGCTAGGGCTGAGCCAAGCAGGCAATAGCATAATTCAGATGGAACTGCTTACGCTGACTCGATACTTGCGATAGCGTATAAAGAACAACACCATGTGTCGCAGGCCAAGCGCTGTCACGAACATGAGCTTTGTTACTAATCGTGTCGTGCGATGACCCTGATGTAAGCTGAGCTAGGATGCTGCAAACAATACAGCACATATACTCTTTTCCGACTTTTCTGCCGCATACATAACCTTCATGGTCACCAGGCTGCTGCAACTGTCTCGCCACCTACCACACAGCGTAGCCTCGCGATGTCGCCAAGAAGAAGCGTCAAATTAGACAAGATGACGGAAGCGCTGGGAAGAGAAGTTGAAGGACGGCAGCGCATAGAAGATCTGGAGAGGCCACAATTCGACGATCGCTCCTACAGAATCGTCACTCTACCGAATCAATTGGAGGTCCTTCTGATACACGAGGCGGGGGCAGACAAGGCTAGTGCGGCGCTGGATGTCAACGTGGGTAGCTTCAGCGATCCGCCAGATATGCCGGGTATCGCACACGCGGTGGAGCATCTGCTGTTCATGGGGACTGAAAAGTACCCAGAGGAGAACGCCTACAGTCAGTATCTGACACGCCACGGCGGATACTCGAATGCTTTCACATCCTCCACTTCGACCAACTACTACTTCGAGCTCTCATACCCTTCTTCCACGCCTACGAGCAGTCAAACCCTATTGCCAGATGTGTCACAAACAAACCTGGCAAAGTTCGAAGAAGACTCGCCGCTATGGGGAGGGCTAAATCGATTTGGCCAGTTCTTCATCAGCCCATTATTCTTGGAAGACACAGTTGATCGCGAGCTCAAGGCGGTGGACTCAGAGCACAAGAAGAATCTCCAAGATTACACTTGGCGGTTGATTCAGCTTGACAAAGCATTGGCCAATCCAGGCCATCCGTACCACCGCTTCTCGACAGGAAACTACAAGACTCTACACGATGGCCCTGTAACGCGTGGTGTAAGAATCCGCGACGAGTTCATCAAGTTCTATTCAACGCACTACTCGGCGAACCGTATGAAGTTGGTTGTCCTAGGTCGAGAGAGCTTGGATACTCTGGAAGCATGGGTAGAGCAGATCTTTGCTAGAGTGCCGAACAAGAACCTGGGCCAGAATCGCTGGGATATGCCCGTTTATACAGAGAACGAACTGCTGACGCAGACCTTCGCCAGACCAGTTTTAGAGTCTCGGTCACTAGAGCTTCAATTCGCGTACCGTGATGAAGATAAGTTTTACGAGTCACAGCCTTCAAGATACCTTGACTACTTGCTCGGTCATGAAGGGCCTGGCGGTATCCTTGCGCTTATCAGGGCAAAAGGCTGGGCGAGCGAAGTGGGAGCTGGAGGGTGCACCCTTTGTCCTGGCTCAGGACTGTTTACTGTCTATATTTTGTTGACTGAGGAGGGCCTAAATCGCTACAAGGAGATTACAAAGCTTGTGTTCCAATACATAGGACTCATGCGCGATCAGCCGCCTCAAGAGTGGGTAGTCAAAGAGCAAATGCAGATTAGTCAAGTAAAGTTCCGATTCAAGGAAAAGAGCCCACCCAGCCAAACTACAAGTGATCTAGCAGGCATCATGCAGGGACCGTACGACCGCAGGATGTTGCTCAGTGGACCAGCCACTATCAAGAAGTTCGATGCCGAGCTGATTAGCGAAGCTATGTCTTATCTCCGACTGGACAACTTTAGAATGACGATTGTGAGTCAAGATTTCCCAGGCAGTTGGAACCAAAAAGAGAAGTGGTATGGCACAGAGTACAAAGTCGAGAAGATACCAGAAGACTTCCTTGCCGAGATTAGAGAAGCATTCGAGAGCAAGAGCCGGCCGGCAGAGTTACATCTCCCACACAAGAACGAGTTTATTCCGACCCGACTGAAAGTGGAGAAGAAGGACGTTGAACAGCCGACCAAGGAGCCCAAGCTTATTCGCCATGACGACAACGTACGCGTCTGGTGGAAGAAGGACGATCAGTTTTGGGTACCCAAGGCTCATGTACACATCTACTTCCGAACGCCTATCACCAGCGTCACAGCTCGTACCACACTACTATGCACGCTCTACTGCGAGCTTGTGAATGATGCTCTAGCTGAGTTTTCATACGACGCCAGCCACTCCGGACTGATGTACAACTTCACCAATCACATCAGGGGTCTTTTGATCGATGTCAGTGGCTACAATGACAAGTTAAATGTGTTGCTGGAAAAGGTCCTGCTCCAAGTACGAGATCTTGAGGTGTCGGTAGATCGTTTCAAGATCATCCGCGACCGGATGTTGCGTTACTTACGCAATTCCGAGTACGAACAGCCTTTCGACCAGGTTGGCACCTACTCTGAACAGTTTAAGAGCGAGAAGAGTGTAACGAACGACGAACTGCTCTCAGAGCTTGAGAATGTGACCGCGCAGGATGTCCAGCAATTCTTCCCGCAGATCCTAGCGCAATGTCATATCGAGGTTTTGGCACACGGCAACCTGTACAACGAGGAAGCTTTGAAGATTACTGATCTCGTAGAGCGTACCATCAAGCCAAGGAGACTGCCAGCGAACCAGGTACCGACGCGTCGAGGACTCATCTGGCCATCTGGCAGTAACTTCATCTACGAGAAGCAACTCAAGGACCCTGAAAACACCAACCACTGCATCGAGTACAGCTTGTATACCGGCCACCGCTACGACAGCGTCATGCGCGCCAAGCTGCTGCTTCTTGGACAGATGACGAACGAGCCTTGTTTCAATCAACTTCGTACCATCGAGCAGCTCGGCTACGTCGTATTCTCTGGCCCTAGCTTTGACGACATTTGGTCAGGATACTGCATTCTCATTCAGAGCGAGAAAGACTGTCGGTACCTTGAGGGTCGCATCGAGAACTTCCTCAACATATTCGAGCAGACATTGAACGACATGAGCGAGGAGGACTTTGAGAGACACAAGCGTGCGATGATCAACAACAGGCTGGCAAAATTGAAGAACCTGTCATCTGAAGACAACATGTTCTGGAATCATATTTACAGTGATTCGTATGATTTCCTGCAAGGTACGTGACTCCCAACTCTCTTACAGTAGTATAGTTTTAACGAATATACAGCCGATGTTGATGCCAAAACTCTTGAGAAGCTCACAAAGAAGGATATGGCCGACTTCTACAGCCAATACATCTCGACATCGTCCTCTCAGCGCTCCAAGCTGTCAGTGCATCTCCAAGCACAGGCCAAGGCGAAGGAGCCCTCCCTCGGTGAGAACAAGACTGCCGCTGCCGCTGCGCTCAACATCACAGCCAACGACGAGGCTTCTCAGACCCGTGTTGAAGAGGTGTCGTCCAAAGAAGCTATCTCAGATGCCGTTGCCGACCATCTTACTGACGACCTCAAGGTGGAGAAAGAAGTCGCTGACAAGGTTCTCGATGAAGCCAAGGCTGAGCTAGGTATCGCGGACTCAGGTCTATCAGCTCCTCCACAGGCTTTCAATGCGTCAACAGACGTTAAGGAAGTAGTCGATGCTTCGCACCCTGTTCTCATCAAAAATGTACATTTTTGGAAGGCAAGTATGCAGGTCAGCTCCGGTGTGCGACCGGAGCGTAACCTAGAAGAGTTTGTCAAGATCGCTTAGAAGCTACAAGAAAAGCTATTGCTGTGAAGATTCTTCTCAACTTCTTCTGGAGAACTAGCGAACGATGCGTTGAAGAAGCAGAATAACAGAATCTCGATCCTTGCCTCCCCACCCCTGTTACGTTGCGCATTGTTGCGACTGGAGAACTACTTCTTTTCACAACATAGCACGGGAACGTAAAGAGAAGAAGTTGCTGAAACCGCCAGACGTTGGTTAGATTGAGTCATGATGTGGCTCGTGACATGGGAAATTGTGCGATGAGAGGTCAAGTGAGTATAGTCGCATAGAGTCTATATTCGATGCGGGCACGGTTGAAGTCATCTTCATCCACTTACTAATACAAGGCATATATGAAGTGTAATCGTCAGTCCGCACAAGGCGCATGTCATTATCATATTCTTATCATCTCGTCGCTGTCGATCTACCGTTGAATGTCCACCCAAGCATCCCACATTCAGTCCAACTCAATTGAGCTCTAATGCTTCTTTACAGCATATACCTCTATGAACACCTGATCACTCACTACTCGCGGTGGCGTGCAATGATCGATCATGAAAGATCAGGATACACGCTCGCAGAGATTTTATGTAATAGCCGTAGCCAATCTTTCCCAACCACAGATGCTCGTACAAAGTACAACGCACACCCACAAGTCATCCGCGTTGAGATGAGTCATCTGTGTGGTATCAGGCTGTATACGCATGCATAACAGTTGCGGAGGGCCTATTCGCTAGATTATGGAACTGTCTGATTAGATCGTGTTTGTCAAGCTACTGCAACTATGAGCGAGAGCTGTATGTCGGCGGCTGGCGGAGTACTACTATCTCATCCATCTCAATACTGATTGCTTATCCTGTAGCCTGTGGGGATATCAAGTATGAAAGCGTAAGGCATGGGCTGAGAACCATGAAAAGTTCATCCGCATTATCAAGTGTCAGCATCTTCACACACCGCGGTCATTGGTAACGCTACCGTATGTTATATTCGCCTACGCTTGCCAGTGTGAGAGGGTGTTTGGATCTTGCAGCAGAACTCTTTCGCCTCCAGATGATAGCATTGCTGCTTGAATATTCATATGACACACGGTACGTCTACTCAACCGGCGCTCACACTCATTGCTGATTGAATGCTGGTCTCACTGCGCCGCAATGGAACATCAACGTTTTGAATCCGTGGCCTCTAGCACAAACCAACATGTGACCAACCACTCTGCAACGCAAGCCTATGCCGTGTGGGACTCGTATGGGCCTGTTTCCTTGGAGACTGATCACGGTTCAGTCACCGGACCTCTGGAGCACTATGACTGCGAGCCGTCGCCTACGCTGCTTTTGAATATCCCGACCGACGCTTTCGATCCGTGGATGCTTGAGGGGCCGCCTTATGGTAGCCCACTATCCACATGCTCATCGATTGGCCATACCGAAAGCGTTTGCACGCCATCTTACACGGATATGCCAACATGCTCCGCAGTCAACTTACCAGTCTTTCAGCATGTCCAGTCGCCGCCCAACAGTGATGCTTGGTCAGACGAGCGAGAACCTCGCTGGAAACTCAGTAATCCTGGAGTCTCCACATGGGGTCCACGACAACTGTCATTGCCTTACCAAGGCCGTTCAGCTTGCGATCAGGAACTCCTGCAACGTATACCAGACTACATCCTCCAATTTGGCCCTTTCTCAGCGCCAGATTGCATCTCGTACCAGGCGCCCGTCTCCTCTTCTGCTGCCGGGGTTGTAGACTCAGCACCCTTTCAACAGGATTTGGCGATTAGCCCCGACGTCAGTGAAAAGGACAGCGATTCAGAGTCTGACTCTTCCGACTGTGAGGATGACTCCTCATTGCATGGATTCTCAGACTCTTCAACTCGGCAACGTGGAGCAAAGTCCCGTGTTATGAAGCTCGGAAGGTGGGGACCCATTACATACCCCTTTTACACGACCATAGAACCAAGGCACTATCGATGTCCGCTCACGGACAAAAAGGATCCTCAGAATCTATGCGCCATGAAATTTCAACGTCCGGAACACCTTCGGCGCCATGTCACCACTGTCCATGGCAATGGGAAGTGTCACCTTTGCAAAGTGTGTCCTAGGCCTTTCTCGAGGCGCGATAATCTTCGGGAGCATTACTGGACACATTTGAAGCGAGGTGGAAGAATGGGCAAGAACACAAGGATGAGCCTCCCCGAACTGAAGGCCATTCTCGGTCCTAAGGAAAAGCAACTTGTGAAGCGTCTGAAGAGGAAACTGCACAACCACCAGGCGAGGCAAACGAAGGCAAGGTCATGACGTAAGGCCGTACGGTCCTTTACACAGTAGTTTGGTTGTTTTGTAGGCTTAGGAAGCAAACTATATATTATTCATAGATAGCGAGGGCCCAGTAGCCTCTTCGCAGGGAACCCAATTCAACTGCCACGCCGCTCTGTCTTTGGAATCTCGCAACCCTTCCTCATTGTGGCTTTGCACTATCACCACGCACGATACCGTAGCGCGGAGGAGGTTCGTGGACAGCGACACATCGCGGTATTGCTCCCAACGGAGTGCGCTTCCAGAGGCATTATGTTCAGCTGAGCATCGAGTAAACAGGCGCTGACCGTAAGCGGATGCCCGCCCATCCGTGGGCAAGGTCAAGATCATTGTTGAGAACGCGCTCAATCACGGGTACAGCCATCGCTAGCTTTGGTGAAGAGCACCTAAGACGCTGAGGCTTATGCTGATTACCAGTATCACGGTCCCAACAGAACGGATTACCGCCAGAAATAAAGTAGGGGTATTGAAACTAAGCGTTGAATCAAACGTCCCATACGTGTGATCTCGTCTGTATCAATACGATCCAGGAAAGGCTTCAACAAAGCAAACCAGCTGTCGCACCAAAGTCGAGAGCGCGTGCTAAGCGCGCCACTATTGCAGACAGACTGCCTTTCTTCTATGCCGTGAAGTCACGAACCGATCGCCATTTTGTCAGAGTCAAGACGGCTAGCAGTATCAACATGGATTCGGAAAGCCAGAAGTAGCTCAACAAGGCCCTTGGAACAGCTGCAAAGAACGACAAGGTCACAAAAGTGAAGGCATTGCTCAAGGAAGGGGCAGAAGTCAACCATCACTCCAGCCTCTTCTCGTCCAACCGATATGACCCGTGGGGAAACCTTAAACCCTACGTATCTATTATACTGACAATGCACGGACAAGAGTGTGCCAAGAGCAAACCCTACGCGCACGGCGTGGCATCCCGACCAGAGAGGTTGGCTGCCTGATCTATGATAAGCGAGGCGTTTTCGTTGGGTAATAAGCCATTGTATAAAGATCCCCCCCTTGCCTCGCTCTCTCGACTCTACCTCCAACAATCTTTTATATGTGCGGTCCTTATCCGTATGAGTTTTTGAAGACATGAAGCAACAACACAAGTCGCCAGTGGCCATCTTCGAGGCTGCTAGGTTCTCTACACACGTCTCGGATCCAGCCAGGATGCAAGCGGAGCTTCACATTCTGGCACTTCGATTTGCTCGATTGATCGATCGTTTGACCCGCAAGGATTCGGAGAAAGTCTCAACAGCCCTGGCCGGCTTGCAACTCATATACGAAGCCGCCGAGGCACAATCGAAAGTGCGGCAACACCTGACCAACGACTGTTCCACACATGTTGTCCACTACCTTCCTCTACACGAGTTTTTACAAGAAAGACTCGCCAAGATATCCTCACTTGCGCCTGGGATCGGTCAAGTTCCTTTCATCATCTTCGATAATGACGACTTTAGCGCTTTGACGAAGAGCATCTGCATTTTGCTTGCTCGTAACGAAAAGGGCATATCTTTCCGCGAACCAAGAGCCAAAGATGCAAGACATATGGTCAATAACCTTGACATATCTTCAATAGAGGAATACAAGGAGGCTGCACAGAAACACGATTGGCTTTTGTGGGACGACTTGACGACGATTGAGTCAGACATAGGCAGAGATCTAGGTACGGAAGGAAAGCCGGATGTAAAAGTAAAACAATCTTCAATACATTTTGGTAGGGAAAACACAGGCTCCCAGAGAGGCGTTGTGCACGGCGGTATATATGATCCGCATTTTCCTTTGGGTATGGGGTAATTAGGGGTACGTAAATCGAATGGTGGATATTGTCGTCAGCTCACTACTCTTCCACACATGATGTCTTATGGCGACGGAAGGTTGGAATTATGCCACCTAGTATATGATACCGTTCTACCCTTCCTATCCTATCCTACCCTACCTTTCAGCGAACGCGACGAGGAATGCATTCACCGCGCCGAATCAGGCTTAACGTTAGAGGGTTTCAGCCCCAAACGGACAGATTGAGTCTTCCGTTTTCATTCCCTGCCATCGAAAACGTCGTCTTTCTATTACATTTTGATACAAAAACTGTGCATTGCTATCGAAACTTATAGTTGAGACTCTAACATTAACAAATTTCTGCTATTGCGTGTTGCGTGTCGCGTGTCGCGTTACGCTGCTGCAAACATGGAGTTCTGGAGGGACGCGCGACCGCGTTCAGCGCAAGCCCGCCCAACAACAACTGCAGAAACCGCCGCCCGCTGCGCGCCCAACCCGTCCAACCCGCCAGCACGCTCGGGTGAAGCAATATCGGCGGTCATCTACTTTCTCCCCAACTACAAAGTTATTGTGTGTAAGCAGTATGTGACTGCAATACAGAATCTAGATGCGCATCTGTGTCTACGAAAGCAGATTGTAGACAGCTGCAGTACCATCTTGGTGCGACTACACATTGTTGAAGCCATGAGGCTGTTCGTAAGGAATAAGCGTGAGCGATTGCGTCCACCAGGCGCTGGGGCGACATGATGTGTGCTCAGCGCATCACTCGATCGGCCCCTGGCGGTGCGTCTCGCCGGGTTTTCCGGTCTTTGCTGGGAGCCGCCTGTACGTGAATGTTACCGTCATCCTCACGCTGATCACGTCCATGGCTGTGTTTTATCAACTTTATTACTATGATGTGCAGATCGGGAAGGCACAAGGATAAGCAATACGGAAAAACTCGCTCTCGCTTCGAAACGCAGTGCGCCCGCCCGTTAACAGGTACTGCAGGTACTGCAGGTACTGCAGTCATGCGGCGTAGCATCCTAATGATGACGATGACACTGACATGGTCCCTCGGCATACTAGCCGAGCATGTGCAGTGCATCTACACGTCCACGGCGAGCGGCGACTCTTCGACTCAGTTTCCCCCTAGTGCCTCCGCGTCAAAGTAGAGTGCTAGCATTCATGTTTTCCGGCAAGCATTTGGTACGAAAGTCTTCATCAGAGTCCAATGCGTCTGTCTCTGTAAGGTCGTCTTCCACTGTCATCGTGGTTTTGAGTTACAGGGGTCAAATTTTAATGGAAGTGGTGGGGGTGCATAAACCGCCCCATGTGCATTACGCGCACAGACAAAATGAGCATTCTGCGCACGGACAAGGTAAGCATAATACCGAAAAATTCGATCCCCACTTCGAAATGCAGTGCTGTGGGGCTGACATGGCTGAGTCCAAGCGACCAGCTGCTGAACACGACAACGACGGTTCCTCGACTTCACAACGTCGCGCGACATGTTGCCCTGTCTTCGCTGCAGGTCCCTCTTGTGAAGCATCATTACGTCACATCGCTCTCCAGTTTTGCACACCGTTCCTTGACGCCAACCGGGAGGAAACTCTTCGTGCTTGCGCCCTGCCCCGTTACGCTTCTGAAGCCTACCCAAACGCTAAGAACGTACGCATTGGAAGCAGAAATGGTGTCGGGAAATATGTAAAGCAAACACGCACATACACAAATCGTACGGTCTTCAAGCAGCAGAGTCGGTTGCAAGAAGTCTGGCCAATTTACACCACTACCTAGTGTCATATTGCGAAATGGTTTCGAAGCAAACGGCAAACAAGCGAAAACGGACCTCGAACACTCTCACCCGAAACAAGCGACGTCAAGCAACACGGCTCGCCCACACCAACGCATCTGAACCCCATCGAGATCATGGGCCTGCTAGCGAAATATTCTGGGCAGCGAGAAGGATCCTGAAGGACAATGGATCGTGTTATCTGGTCGAATGGGAGGACATCGACCCAGGGACGGGTCGCCCGTACGAGCCGACGTGGGAACCGCACGATTTTGTCACTCCAGCCCTAGAAGCAGAGTGGGAGGAGATCATCGCTGCTCGAAGCACCGTTACAAGACATACCCGCAGTCAAGTCCAATCGTTTGAAGAAGCCGATAATCGAATGCAGTCCTTGAGCGGATCGCCGGGACTAGTGACGTCTGGGCAACCTCCGACGAAGAGGGAATCTCAGTGTCAAAGCGTCTCGACAGCTTTTCCGCAGCAAATGCATCAGTCACAGCACAGTTCCAGTTCGCTCTCCCTAGAGTCACAGCAAAGTGCGTGTGCGTTAGAGGATAGGAACTCGTATACGTGCGGTGTTATACCTGCTAGGCAGAATAACGTCAACCAGACAATCAGTACTACGACTACGCTGGAAGAAACATCGGGCTCGAACCAGCGGAACCCAGCTACCGCGAACGGTTCTGGCTATACGAATAAAGTGATTTGATCTTTCTCCAATAACGCTAGCATGGCTTGCTGACCATGTGTCCACAGGATTTGAGCGCTACGGATCCGGCCGCGCTGGGTTTGCAACACAGTCTACATGCTCAGTCTTCGGCTTGCATCGAGAAGGTTGACAGTGTTGGAATTATGCAACTACCGTCGCACCCTGATCCCCTAGGGATGCTCCACGACGCAGGATGCAAGGAAAGTGAGCTCCCGGAGAATCCAAGTCAGGAAGGGCTAGAGCCATTGGAGCTGGCTAGGCGGGAGTCACAAAGAGCCCATGCTTGTACGCTTGAGGAGAAAGGTTTACCTCCGTCTGCATTGCTCACAACTAGGAAGCCCTTGGAGACGCAAGAACAGCAAGAAATACAAGACGAGCTTGAGATTCTGTGGGCTATGCTATCCGCACCCGCCGATGAAGCTGTTCACAGAGAGCTGGAGCTTCAAGCAGAAGCCGAAGTGGTGTCTTATACAAAGACGTGGAAGGAACCCGTTCTCGAAAAAGCCGCACTTGTTCTACTTCAAGGCGGGACGGTCGAGGAGCAAAGCCAGGCACTGGTGAGTTCAGAACAGTCACCAGGACGACTTTCCAAAGATTGCTTGACTGATGAGAAGGCTGTGATACAACATGCACCGGCCGAGCCCGACGTAAGCGATGAGCCCACAAGGCTTTTAGCACGGGCCGAGCGGTCAATATCATCATCTTCAGAACAGAGCGAGTCCAACCTGCAGAACCTTAAATCGCGCGCAGATACTCTACCTGTTTTAGCAATAGACCGTACACCGATTGCACCCTCGGCGTTATCCTCACAGCTAGGGTTGAGGCTAGATACTAAGATCACAGCCGGGCAGACATTTGCCAAGCCGGATGTGAATGCTCCAGCTGGGGGTAGAAATGCCAAAACGTGCCCTTTGCCTGCAGCGGCTCTAGCAGTGTGTGCACGCCATACTAGGAAACAGCCTCCCGGAGACTGAAACTGGAGGTCTTCCGGCCCCGCCGGCTTTGAACTGGAGTGTCAGAGATCTTGAGGTTGTTCCTGATCGGGAAGTGCAAGTTCGTATTGCAAACAGCATGTACACTATTGATGGAGAGCAGACTGCTCCTATTACCCGTGATTCGTTCACCCTTAGGCCACAAAGCTGTGGAGAAGCGGATCACGACTCCGCGTTTAGGCGATATAAGAACAGCTGCCACACTACCAACCACTCTATCTCACCCGTAATCGACGGTGTAGATATGTCTCCAAGAGACCCTAGTATGGGACCGTCATCAACCCTTGAAAGAGCGGATCAGTTTTCAGATGAACAACCTGTGGCTCTACGACCTCTACCTGAGCCTTCCGCAACTGCGAGCTGCGGTGGTTCACCCGTCTACCAGAAAAAGTTGCAGAACATGGAGCTTGCACAGCAGCACATGCAGCCCCCGGTAGATTATCGTAGGTATGGCCAGCGATGGACTACTCTGTCCCACGAACCACCTCAGGGTGACATCCAGCTATTACAGCATCGCGATGCTTGCGCAATGAGGCCAACTTACAGTAACACAAATTGGTTCAAGAGCTACACATGCCCATACGTAGGACAGATCGGAGCAGTGTAGAGCGAGCAGTAGCAACAAAGCCAATGCAGTGTGCTATCCGGGTCGAACCGAGGAGGAACAAACCAGTTAAGAAGCGGGTCAAGACTGGGTGTGGGACATGCAGAAAGCGCAAGAAGAAGTGTGATGAAGCAAAGCCTGAATGCAACAACTGCACACGTACCGGCATCATCTGCCAAGGCTACATGGACAAGATGACATTGCGAAAGAATGGAACTTCAACGTCTCTACCTTTGTTATCAGATCCAACGCGAATGCCCATGGACGCACATCAGCCCGAAAGCAGACCACGCGGCTACGACCTGAAATACATACTTAACGGCGAGCCTAGCCTCGGTAGCAGCCAGAGCATCTACCAAGACCCCCATGCTTCTGTCCAAAGTGCAGACGCTGTTGACAGCGACGTTACTGTCGAAGAACGCAGGTACCAACCGTCTGCATCAAGCGGGGAAACGGGCAGGCATGATCTGTCCCACGTATCGTATCCAAGAGAGCAGTCATATCCGCCTGCTCATCATCCTCGATCTCCGCTTGTGCCTGTACCTGTTCACGAGAGAGACGTATCTAACGAAGACCGTCGAGTAACGCATCCCATTCAAATCCCACCTTTGTTATATCACAACCCACTCATATATAATCAGACACCGCAAAGTGTGGATCGTGGCACTGCCAATACTTCTGCAGTAGCGTCCGAGGCTGACTGACAGAGAGCCCAGTCACCGCGGTTTCCATTGTCAGCTATCCCAACTACTGCACCGCCAAAGCCATCGCTATCCTGGCATAAACAAGCACCAAGTCTCCCGAAAACTGAGCAGCAGAAGATGTTAGACGGAGAGCCTTTCATGCCCTACAGCACTCAGTTAGTTGACGATCGAAGGCAATGCGCAGCTGTACTACACCGCTTCAACACCGTCGATACGGTATCCGAAGTCGGGCGGCGTATGCGTGAGCGCTATTTCAGAGTGGCTATAGAGGCAGCTTGGACTCAGCCTCATTGCGGAGACCGTCTGGTCGGCGGTCGGCTTGGTAGTAATGCACACGTTGCTACACCGTTTCACTGCGACTACGGTTACAACGTCTCTATTGGCGACAATGTCATCATCGGGTCTAATTCGAAATTACTTGATTCAGTCAGGATAGGCATTGGAACGAATACCAGGATTGGTGGGTGTGTTACCATTACGACTTTGAAAGCACCGACTGATATGAAACCATCGAAGATGGGCTACGGTCTTGAAATCGCCAAAGATATCTACATCGGTGAGAACGTCTATATCAGTGATTGCTGCGTCGTAGGAGCCGGAGTGCGAGTTGGTGACGGTGCCGTTATTCGTTCTGGGTCAATCGTCGTTCATGACATACCACCAAACTACATCGCCTGTGGCAATCCAGCCAACACGTACGAGGCCAATTAGGTGCTCTATCATTGTTGGAGCGGTTTCAGATAGTATTCAGTATATTAAGCCTAGTACAGCGTCTGTTATCTTCCGTCTCAAGACCCATAGGATGACAATCATGAGCGAGTCACGCCTCTGGCTTGCATATGTGTGGATGGTACAGTTCTTCCCCTAGGCATCATCTACGCGGCAAGTGGAAGAGCTGTACAGGCAAGCTGGGTGGGTGAAATAGACTCCAAAGAAGCACTCAGTCCACTTCACTACATCATCTCATGGCTAGACAAACAACAATCTTGGATTGACGTGGTTTCAGCAGGTGTTTGATCGCTACACCAAGCCCAAAGCTCAGAGAAAGTGGTGACTGCTCATTATTGACGGCCATGGCAGCCATGTAACAAGGGATTTTATTACCTACTGCGTCAACAAGATTCTCCTGATGATCTTCCCCCCATACGCAACCCACACTGCAGCCGCTTGATGTAGTCTGCTTCAAGCCTCTCGCACAAAACTACACCAAGCAGCTTGACCTTCGCACTCAGAGAACTCGGGGATGGGTACCCACAAAGAAGAGTGACCTCTTCTCGCTATTCTGGAAGGCATATGTGAATGCTTTACAGAAACGTTGGTGTTAAAGGCCTTCTCCGCCACAGGTATACATCACCCAACGCCAACGTTGTCCTCGATAGATTCAGAACTGCAACACCAGAGACTGCTGCAACACCTCCAGAGCAAACAGCGCTCTCTTCTTTATCCGGAGAGCCATTGTGGCTTAAAGCTAAGTCACTACTTCGCTCAGCAACCAAGGGGGGTGACGCTATAGCTACTAATGCGCTAGCGCAGTACATCCACCACCTTCCAGTGCAGAATCAGCAGAGTTGCCACGACAGGCTTTACGGGCTCAAGTATCCTCTGATCCTCGGCGGGCAGTTCGTGGTTGGCGAGATCTTGAAAGTTCTTGAAAACCTCGTATTGCTGGGGCGTTTTGATGTATTTGATAACGTCTAGCAGCGTACCTAGCAGGCCTTGCTTACGCCAATCGCCCAGGAACTGCTCCTCATCCTGTACCAATTAGTCGGCAGTTGCAACGCTAAGAAAGCTGGGAAACTCACGATGATATTAGCCTCCTCGTTGTCAAACGCATCCTTGTTCGAACCAAACATCACCGCCTGGCCGACGAGATTGATCGTATGAGCTGAACAACGTAGGCGACGGTGGCTAGCTACAAAGCCGTATTTGCTGCCAAGTTTCTTGATAGCAGCGTCGCTGTTGTATGCGTTGTCGGGCATAAAGTAACCAAGCTTTGGCGCAGCAATACCGAACTCCCGCAGAGTTTTCTCAATACAGTCAGCTATCCTATCGCCCGTATGGGCGCCCGTAAGCTGCGGGAAGTCAATAGCAACGTCCTTGACAACCCCATGAGTTGTAGCGTAATGAGCAACTACACCAAAGAAGCCTCGTTTGCCGCCTTTAGTCGTCCACCCATCAAAGTTTATATGGATCTTGCTTGCGGCCTCTTCAAGTTGCTTCACGACCTGGGGCTGCATATGGCTGTACAGTCGCATCGTGAACCGATTAACGCTCGTACGACTCGCCCACAACGCCTTCTCAGCTTCTGGGTTTGCAAACCGTATTATTGATTGAAACGCTGGATCTTCGAAATGCCTCAGCGCTATATTGTTGTTAGCAAGCCAGGTCACGGCCGCTAATCGAAACGCTTGTACGTTAAGTTTCTAGTTTTGTTAGCGACAGCTTAACTAATCCGTACGCCAGCGCTTGTCAGCATTGTGAGCGGCTTCTGGCCTACAGTCAGCTTTACCGGGAGCTTGCCTGTTGGAGCTATACGGTGCTTCTTCATAAGGTGGGCTGCAGCCGAGCTCGTCGCCGACGTTGCCTCTAACAGTCCGCAACTAGCTGCGTCGAGCTTCTTGTTTTGGTGGCACTCGCGGCATACGAAGAATACGCGCTCTGGGTTTGACAGCAAAGCGACGCGATAACCGTAGTTGTATACCTAACTTTTGCGTTGAGCGTAGGTCCGCGATGGCCGTATGATGCCCTTCAGAACTAAACCCGTGCTAAAATATCCGCAGAGAGCATGTACTAGTTATTAGAGCAACTATTCAAACGGTCAGCCTACTAATCTAGGATAGAGTTAGCCTTTGTAACAGAACGAACGCAGGGACCTGTATATTCTGTTACTAACACGGTGGTGTATTCGGTATTGAAGAACCCCCGTTAATATTCTCAATATTCTCAATATCCTCAATATTTTCTCAATATTGAAGAACTCCATAGGGAAGAATCAATATTGACAGGGGTTCTTCAATACCGAATACACCTATCAGATGAAGTAAGCGATACTGCATCGTGGACGGTATCACCTATGTATCACCTAGGTATCACCGACGTATCAGGTTTATGTTCAAAAAGGAGAGAGAACAGACCAACGAAAAACAACAATGATCAAGACATAATCTATCATCGCAAGCATAAACTTCTCCTGAGCTCATTTTTTTAGCATTTCATCTGACAACACCACTGCTAACACGCAACTAGACTAAGAGCTAAGTCTAGGTCGAGCCCTAAGATAGCGCATGGACATGTTTTAGGAACATTGAACAAAGTTCCGACAAGCATTAGCCTAGTAGTAGTAGTAGAGTCCTAAGAGAAGAACGATCCTTGCTGCATGGGCTTTGCACTGAGGATAAAGCTGACGGGAAATTCGGAAACCGATTATGACTGCCACTGTACAATACACCCACGTTCGACCTTGATTATGATGGGTTTTCAATTCCTGACAACCTGCCGACGTACCCTAGGCTAACCACGTAACCGTCGTCAGCGCTGACGACCGCTTACTGAGGTACAGAAGAGAAAACCGTAGATTTAAGTGAGAGGTTTGTAAAGTCAGTGTAAAGGCAGGTGTCTCAAAGTAAAAATATCACTTTGTGACATTGTTTCAAGATTCGAGTATCCTATATATTCCCCCTAGGATAGGAATTTATCGCCAAAACCTCCATTCTCACAACCATGGCTGTACAGGAGCTCCAAGCAGACGCAAACTCGAGGCAACCAGCATGCGACCCCGACATTACTACGGCCTGTCTTCAGGCGGTGGACGACAGTAAACAAAACTCATCTAGTATTTCCCCAAAACTGCATGACTTCTTGGCTAGCCTTCAACACCGTGGGATCAAGGCCTTTGCATCACATGGACGATCGTTTCCGCCTGAAGCAATGATGCATGACCGAGCAGCTGTCGTCCCTACGGTTATAGTCTCGCCCCGAAGCGAATGGGGCGTTATGGAAACATTAAAGTTGCTCACCTCCCTGAAACTCTACGACGAGCATGCTGTCTCGGTAAGAAGCGGAGGACACGGATATCACAACGGAGGATCATGCTCGGGAATCATGATCAATTTGGGATGCATGGCAAACCGACGGATCGTTGACAATGTTTTGTTCTTGGAACCTGGTTGCATCTTGGGACAACTTATCGGTACTTTGGTGGACCACGAGAAGGCAGTCCCTCACGGCGACTGCTTCGGCGTCGGGGCTGGGGGACATTTCCTCACTGCGGGGTGGGACATCGCCCTGGCTCGACGCTACGGACTCGGGTGCCAGTCAGTCACTGGCGGCCGTATTGTTCTATGGGATGGATCGGTCGTCGATGTGGATGAGAAGAACCATCCGAAATTGCTATACGCCATGCGCGGCGGCGCCGCAGCAGGAGTGGGAGTGGTTACAGAAATACGGCTGCGGCTGATAGATCAGCCTCCCTTGGTTTCCTGGCGTTTCCAAAGCCTGTCCAAAGCACAGCTGGAGATTTGTGTGGCCCATCACGCCTTCGCAAGCGCCGCGAACCTGCCTAAGGACATATCGATATCGTTCCGCTTCTACTTCGAGCCGGATCAGCATGACCCGGTATGCTCGTTCAACGTCGTCAGTATCCTGCCTGTGGACAAGACCCTCGAATGTCTCCATGAGCATCTGGATAGTGCAGTTGCGTCTATCGTAGCTGAGCAGTCGGAGTGGCATGAGAAGTCACTTGTGGACTTGAGAATGGTGCCAGCTTCAGAAGCGCTGACCGCAAATCCCCAGATGCTGGCAGAGGTGACACCTGTGGCACTGCATGAAAGCCCTCTGACCTACTGGAAACCGACCACATCGTCGCGTGAAATGGCAAGGTCGTATTTCACCTCAGTCTCGCATTGGGTTGTTTCTGAGTGCGATGCCGTCTTTCTAGAGCTATATCGTGCCTTCCAGTCTGTCCGAGCAGTACATGCACGCGAGCGAATGTATGCGCTCGTAGTTCAAGGTGGTGGCCGAATGACGGAGTTGCAGCATCAGTGTTCGATGCCGCTTGGTCAAGCCCTGGCTCGCTTCGAGATGCATTGGGATGCCCCCGAGGATGAACGGTGGTCTAGGAGTTTCACGGACAGGATATCTGGGATCATGGAATCAAAGCTGGATCGTGGCCCTAGCCGACCATATCGCGGCGACATCTGGCTAAAAGAGCAAGAACGAGACGACACACTGGAAGCGATACTCAAGTCCTATGATCGCCGTTCAGCCGTTTGACCTTGACTTTTCTGCTAGGGGGAGTGCGGCTGGGTCGGGATTTGCGCTTGTTGGGGGGACGGGTGCGTAAAATGGCGTCCGTTCTCATCCTAGAAGACAGAAACCTGTGTTACAAAACTAAGTTAGCATAACTACCTTGCCAGATGCATACTAACTTATGATATTAATGCCTTAACATCCCTCCACCCGTGCCGGAAACCCGTCAGCGCCGCCAAACACATCAATATCAAGAACGACTGACAGCTGCAAATATTCTCGGGATCTGTTAAATGGAGTATAGGCTTAATATTCCATGCGATTAGAGTCTGATTAACCTGCATTAAGGTAACTTTCCCACCACAATAACTCGACAGCAAGAGCAGTTATAACAAGCTACTGACGGCAATGAAATCGTACAGGTTTTTTCCTATAAAATAGCCTCCCTAGAATGTTCAATATAACTTCAGATGGCCAACCTCAAGTACCTCGATCTCATTCCCTGATTCCACCCCCCTGTTTTCTTACCGCGGCTTATCGCTCCCACCAATCCGCTTGATCCCAGTGGAATTACAGGCAGTCGCTTGGAGGTAGAGATGACTGTCTCTAAAACGAGCTGTCAAGTCCTCCCATGACTAGCAACTCAATGCTCGTTAGAACGGCGTTTTCCATTTTTCTTGCCCGAATCAAGCACAGCGCCTAGACTTGCCCCGTAATCGCATTCTGTAGGTTCCTGCTCCGAGGTTCCTGCTCCGGGGGTCCCTGCCGCATGGGATCGAATCGCAAACTGCCCCAGGAATTTACGCCCATCTTCCACCCATATGCGTTCATGACTTCGAAGACACGCGACGCATCTTTATATTCCAAATAACCCCAGCCAGATTTCTCTTGCGACCATTTACAGCCCTTCATCTTCGGTAAGATGCTTTCTCTGAAGTAGTTCTCCCATCTGTCGGAAAGTTGTTGCGAGTATTCGGGAGGGCTAAATGCGATCATAAAGCGGGACATGATACTAGTGAAAGTTGCAACGGATAGGTAAGAACGGAAGGTGTGCTATATAGAGAGGAAAATGCAACCTTTGTATGCTCAATCTTTTGGCTTCTTATATTTACTGGTCCAGTATTGTAATCGATGTCGGTTCAAAGATATTACCGTCATTGATGATATGTACAGTACCGACTTCAACTCGAACACAATTGTAGCTACACTTTCACGCAGTTGCAGTTTCCCGTTCTTGCAAGCATTCAATCTTTCATCCTACGCGGGCTTCTTTTGCCTGATGATTATCTTAACAGAATCGTGCTAGCTCTTGTCAACTGTGCCTTGTGTCACGACTCACGAGACAATAGTGTCTCCGAATCAATCAACGTCAGACGCTTACAGAGCCTAAGACGTTTTGGGCAAGCGCACACCAGGCGGGATGATGGATTGCGTGGGATGAAAGTTGGGCAGCATGCAAAAAGCGAAAACTGCAAGTGCGTGAAAGTGTAACGTGCATCGCCCGTAAGCGAGAAATGCCCCTCGACGAGATGAATCCAACTTCAATCCAAACCAATCCTCACCACATTCGCTTGTGGGCTTGTAGGGTATGTGATATTGCTCTTCAGGCATTTCTCTATCGCCCTACATTTTGTGATAATCAAAACACGGTGGTTGTGGTCGCAACGACAGTCATGTCGCGCGCTGCGCTAGGAGCCACTTTAGTTCTCACCCCTGCTCGATCACTGCCAACCCCATTTTCCGCAATCTGCAACTGCTACGGCGATTAACGCCACTGAGGTGCACATCGTCCCTGATCTTCAAGATGCCTGAGCTTGGAGAACATGTACTCCGAGCTTATCTCTGTGTCAAATTGGCCTCCGCGTGGTGTTACAGCTTGACCCCAACCATCCTATTTTCTCTGCTGCAATGTGGCAGTAGAGACAAAAGTGTCTAAAATGTAGATGTACCGCAATTTCAGATCTCTAGAAGTGTATGGGGAGGGGATGAGGTGCCTGTCGAGTTGGCTCATCTCGCTGAGTGGCGTTTCTCGCTTACGGGCGATGCACGTTAAGCTGCGTGTAGTTTCTCTCTTGCGTTCAGACGGATGTGAGGCGAGGCGACATGTCTTACGCTTACAGGGTGGATCCCCTTGCACACGCCCGCATGCATGAACGGTCACGTATATCACCCTCGTCCAAGGATGTCGCATCTTCCATGGGCGTTTGCCGCGCGCAAAGGTGGGCGATCTACACATTTCAGCCGAACGCCCTGCTTACGCCACGTCGACGTCGGCCACGACGAACAGCAGTCCAGTGATGGGCGCATCAGCGTTGAAGGACTATGGCGCTCCCAATGTCTTCCCCGCCAGCAATTGCAGCGAGCCTGTTGGTCCTGCTTTTTAGGCCTCCGTTAGAAGCGGGAGTTGAGCATAAGCTTTCCCGGCAAACAAGGAATTTTTTGCTAGAGGCAAAGATGCCTACGTGTCGCTACTACGACATCAATCTCTTCGCCATCAATCGCTTCGTGGTAAGTCTCTTCGACATCGATTTCTTCGTGATAAGTCTCTCCGTCATCGATTTCTTCGCCATAAATCTCTTCGTGATAAATCTCTTCGACATCAATTTCTTCGTGATAAATCTTTCTGACATCAATCTCTTCGCCACAAATCTCTCCGTCATCAGTCTCTCCGTCATTAGTCTCTCTGACATCAATCTCTTCGCCATAAATCTCTTCGCCATAAATCTCTTCGCCATAAATCTCTTCGTGATAAATGGCTTCGTGATACGGTAATGCAGCTAGCTGCCTCCCGTACACTGACATAAGACGCTGCCCGTAGACCCACGCTGCTGCGATGACCATGATGTGTATGATGTGATGGCTGGCATCGGCATGCCAAACTCCATGTCTACCGCCTTGTCGAGAAGGTGAGTTGTGTAGATGCCGCCGCCTGTGCTGTTCAGGATGACGAGAGCCCAGAAGTGAGCGAGCCCACAAGCCTGGCCTGACTGACGCAAGCACCAGCAACGCAGTCCTGGCTAGGTCGCAAGGCCTATAGGTTGCCTTTGACTACCTAAGAGACAACACTGGCACGAATAATCATGGTCGCAGGATGAAACATGCCAGCCGAGAGAGTTCTATAATAACTTCCATAGACAGAACTATGGGGTAAATGGTTGCAGGCGAGGGAACGTCAGTGTCTCGTCCACCTCAATGACCTGTACGGCAGAAGGATCGGTAGCTGTTGTGAGTGTCAACATGAGTACCAACGCCGCGGCTCATTGACGCCGGTGTCGTCGATGTCACTGTCATCATCAACGTTACCATCTTTGCCTTTATCGCCACGTTGATCCTCCTTGTAATTACGATGTGCAGGTGGAGAGGGCGTAAGCGTAAGCATAAGCATAAACACAATCGACAGGCGTTGCAGATATGCGGCGTAGTCTCTCTGATGATGCTATCGAGGGGTCCCCGCGGTCTTCTCGAAATATCGTGTCCGTATATCGATCCAGCAGCTGCTTGGCAGACAGGGCTTGGCAGCAACGCTGATCCATCAGCGCACACGCACGCCAGGAACGTAATCCACTCGTGTGAGCCATCCTGGAGAATCGTTGTAACCTCCTTCTTCTCCCGCATCCGTCTGCTAAACACCCGTTCTGAGCGGCCGGTGATACATCTTGTTACGAGCGCTTTCGGTCTTGACGGCGGCAATTTGACTTGAATATAAAGGAATACCCTCCCTCCATTTCTCCTTGCACGTACCAGAGCGGTGTCCGCGCTCGACGGTACAATTCCATTCTATGCGCAACTACCTTGCATATGACGGCAGTGACATTTTCTAATGCACAACAATGGATTAGGATGATTTTCAGCAGAGAGCCATCGTGGCCATTCCTAAGCAGACGTTGAAGCCTAGCCGGTGCTGGGTCGGGGTGCTCCACCACGAGAAACCTCCAGAGGTACCCCTTGAAGAAAGAGATTTTGTTTGGATGATTGGTTATAACGTATGTATCACTGATGTCTGCAGTCTCATACTTCACGAAAAGTTGCTAGAGCCGACGCCTATTGACATATGTGTAGCAGATGCCCATCCGGACGATCCAAGAAACATATTTGAGATCACACAATGTAATCAGCCTCCAGCTCAAACACAGAGACGCTCTCGTCGACCAGAACGACATAGTCCGGTCTTACCTGCGGCCTGGCAGTGATCTTGTCTTATTCTGGGCGACGTGCGCAGAACAGTCCATGGTGGGAGTTATCAAGGTATCCGCCAGTCCTACTCCCGCTCGCCAGGATGTGAGGAGTCTCGAAGCTCGCAGCAATGTACCTCCTATGACACCGCCAACGCACGGTGCGAAAACCAATGAGCCACGATCAGCGGGGCTCGCCTTGCATCGACCACAACTCAACTCACCATCTACAATCGCCAACAAGCTATGTCCATCGCCCAGTCCAATTGCTAGGGACTTGTCCAGCATCCCTGAAGATACCCTTCTAAAACGCGAGGCAAATGTCGATGCGGTTGCGATTCCGGACGGTGCAAAAATCGAGCGACGTTCCCCACGTTCGTTCCTAGATCAACCAGCATTGCAAAGCCCTACTACTGGTTTGGTTCAACCCGATCAAGTTAGCACAGTCAATCGCGAACGATCATCAGAGACGTATGGGGGTGCAGTCTGGACAGATCGGCATATCAGGGCCATCCTCAATCAGCAGGATCCTGAACTTCTAGGGAGAGCTGTGGCCCGATCAGTAGAGGTCTTGAATGAGTTGCAAGAGAAATTCTCGCGGTATGCGGCATCGAACGCGGACATGGAAGCAAGCCATCCAGAAGCTCATACCGCAAGCGGGGCGGACACGGACGGTGATCGGTGTGGTCGGCAACACCGGCGCCGGCAAAAGCAGTGTGATCAATGCAGTGCTGAACGAGGAAAATCTCGTACCGACTAACTGCATGCGTGCATGTACAGCCGTCGTGACAGAAATATCATGGAACGACAGCATAGATCCATCCGCTAAGTATCGTGCGGAGATTGAGTTTATTGATCGGGTAGACTGGGAGGAGGAACTCACGGTCTTGATGAAGGATTTGCTAACCGGAGACGGCGCAGTCTCAAGCGGCATCTACGAGCCAGACTCGGATGCTAGTATCGCATGGGCCAAATTTCAATCGGTCTATCCGAAGCTACCCAGGGACACGCTGAATCAACACAAGGTCTCCGATCTGATGACCAAGACCGACGTTTCGAGCATCCTAGGGACCACAAAAACGATAGAAACAGCTCAGGCAAGTACTTTCTACCAACAGCTTCAGCATTACGTGGACAGTAGGGAGAAATGTAACAAGAAGAGCAGGGGTAACGACGGTGGCAGGACGAAGACGACCAAGAATACAGAGATGGAATATTGGCCGCTGATCAAGGTCGTGAGGATTTACACGAAAAGTCCTGCGCTGTCCACAGGTACTGTCATTGTGGATTTGCCTGGTGTACACGATTCCAACGCAGCACGGGCTGCTGTTGCTCAAGGCTACCTGAAGCATTGTAGTGGATTATGGATCGTTGCTCCCATCGGCCGCGCAGTGGATGATAAGGCTGCGAAGACTCTCCTCGGAGGTTCCTTCAAGCGGCAACTTAAGTGCGATGGTGGCTTCTCCAGTGTCACGTTCATATGCTCGAAGACAGATGACATATCAGTTACCGAGGCTATTAACAGTCTAGAGCTAGACGGGACAGCAGAGCTTGAAGAACTGGGCGACGAAAACAGGACCAGCATCAAAAAAATCGAAGATAAGATCGAAAGTCTTAGAGAATCGCAGCAAGCTTGCGAAGCCGCTTTATCCAGAACGCTCAAGGACATGGAAATCTAGGAAGAGCTTTAAGAACAACTAGATGACGGAAAGAAGGTGCATGCCCCGGTGGGTGAGACCAGCAAGCGCCTCAAGGGTTATAAGAAGGACTCAGCAAGGAAGCGAAGGCGCGTATCTGAGGAAGAATCGGACGAGAATTGGGTTTCTCCTGACGACGATGGAACCGATGATGACAACGAAGTTGAGATCGCACTTTCAGAGCCAGATATCTATAAGAAGTTCCAGGAGCTGAGGAGAAGCCGGAAAAATGCTAGAGAGGAAATCTGGCAAATCAAGGGTTCGATCGAGGAACTGAAACTCCAAAAAAGCGAGCATGAGGTGCAGAACGACGAGACCAAGGGTAAAATCCGCCGCTTATGCATCGCCGAACGTAATGAGTATTCCAAGATTGCAATTCAGCGGGACTTCGCCGCCGGTATCAGGGAGATGGACCAGGAAAATGCGGCAGAAGAAGATGAGGACAACTTCGATCCCGACGAAGAACTACGAGACTATGATCAAGTCGCGAAGTCCTTGCCAGTCTTCTGCGTTAGCAGCCGAGCTTACCAGAAGCTATGTGGTCGATTGGTTAAGGACGATCCTGTCCCAGGTTTTACCAACACCGAGGAGACTGGGATTCCTCAATTGCAAGCCCATTGCAAAAAGCTCACCGCGGGCGGCCGTATTCAGATCAGCCGCAGTTTCTTGTTGAATCTATGTCAGCTCTTGACTGCGTTCAACTTGTGGGTCTCCATCGAAGGGACTGGTTCGAAAGCTACCGAGGAGGATAAAGATAGGCAGATCAAGTATTTGAAGCGCGCGTTGGCCAACTTGGACGCTGTATTCAAGGCATGTATCTATGCATGCTTCGATCAGGTGCGTGCAGATCTGAAACACTACATAACTGACAAGCTACCGGAGCTGGTCAAGGATGCCATAGACGCCGCACCGAGTACAGCCAAAGCCTGGAGTAAAAAGAAGAGCAGGGCGGCTTGCCCTGGCCGACTTATCTGGCTGTGGTAAGACGGCATGGTGTCTTCCGATCCTTCAGCGCTGGGCATCGCGATTTCAACGCCGATCTCGTCGATCCGATCTTGAAGCATCTCGCGAATGGATGGGAACGAGCATTTCAATCGCGCCTGCCTAAAGCTTTCTGCACCTTCGCCGCCAATTTTGGTCGTCTACTATACACCTTCCACGGCTCTGTTGAGCGGCAAGCGGACGAAACCGGTGTAGGCCTAGCCGAACTCTCCATCTTGAAACAGCAGGTCTACATCTACGAACAACTCTTCCACAACGTCACTACGGTGGTAATCAAGCAGATGACGCAGCTTCAGCGCGAAGCCAATCGTAATATCACACTCACAATCGCAAACGGCATGCGCAACGTATACGAGTTGTGCGCCAGCGAGTGTGGCCCTGGTACGTATAAACGCATGAAAGAGCATATGACAAACTATGTCGACCGCGAGCGGCACCAAATGTTTCACGCGGCGGCCGGGACGTTACAGAAGGACCTGGATCAGATGTGCAAGGCTTTGCAAGAATCGATGAAGACTGAGGCACATGAGATCTATCTTCAGATTTACAGAGATTATGTACGTGTGCTAGGTGGAGCGGTCAGCAGTCAGCCTGCCGTAGTCCAGTCGAAGCAGGAAAGTGAGCTGCGGGCAGAGGTCAAAGGGATTCTAGAAGGCGTTAATGCCCGATTCGAATCCATTGGTAATGACTAACAGGAGCTCATCCCGTTGTAGGAACGAGATTCAGCGGCGCCTTCGGATTGGACCAGGAGACTGCTGACAATGACAACACTACGATCATGGAACCTACATCTCAGTGAAGCTGGGAGGTGGATTGGGGAGCTTCCGCCCATGACCAAGATTACCACTTCCAATGTAAACATTGCTGGATGCACTGTCATCCTCCCGCGTCTCCGTTACATGGCAAAAAGCTATATTGAACAGACAGAGCGCATGATGTTAACAAGTAAGGAGTACAGGATTAAGGAAGAAGTTGGTTGATTGATAGAGTCTATCGAAGCGAGTGAATATATATCCTCCTGTTACATAATCAGTGATGAAACGCACTACTCCATAGTAGATGTAGATGCTAACATCTATAGCATGGAAGCTTTCGCGTTAGCTATGTTCGTGCGTTGCACTGTGTCTCGAAGCTGTACGATGGCTGTATTAGAGACTGATTGCAGTTTCGCTGCTAGGTGTATTCGTTGACATGAGCTATACGGCAGGGCTTTAAACCTAGCCCTGCTCCTAATCCGAGCTGGTTTTCGGGTGTCCTGGAGCGCTTGGCAAAAGCGCCGCACGGCTACTCAGCCACACGGCCACAGATGTAGCGTTAGTAGCGATAGATTACAGCTAAGCTGCTTTAAGCTAGGTGTGCAGGTCTTCCTTATCTGGCACTTCTAGCAGGCGGTCTTGTATTTAGCACAGACGCACGACAACCTCTTGAGCTCAAGCGCAGTGCTCAGGATAGGATAGTAATATAACAAGCTGTAAGTTGACGGACTTTTAACAAGATGCATGAGCTTTCAACGTATCTAATGCTAGCCAAAGCGAGGCGGTCGCGCGACGCACATACTTAATTGACGTATTGCACGGTAAGTAGAACCTACTTCTAAAAGACATTAAGAGAGAATAGGCGTCGTAGCCTAGGGCTACTATTCCAAGAATATCTATTCTCCTAACCTGTTGTTAAGTTTGTTATGTTAGAGATTGTCTGTAGCATCCCGTCACGTAGGGTGTCCCGCTACGTAGGGACGGACGTTACTACCGCTTAACTAAGGAGGTTCCTGTATACGCCGCCGCTCTCCTCCTTAATCCCCGTAAACGCATCGCGTATATCAAGCAGAACTAGCCAGAGGAATAGCACGAAGATACCATTGCCTCAGCCACAGCATTCTAGCAAACGGAATTTAATCACAGGACCCCCAGCGAATATCCCTCTACTCCTACGACGATGCCACCACCACTAGCAAAGAAGCAGAATCAACTCGCAATACTATCAAAGAAGCTAGAGATTAGGACTATTAATGCGAGTGTTAGTAATAATTTTACTAGCTTCATTAACAGTATAACAACAGATATTACTCCAGATTGTACGCCTCTAGGGTAGTAGTGTCAACCACAGCAGAGAAGGCAGTATCTGAAGCTTAGCCGCATGGCGAATAGTGTTCTGTCTATCCCAGCAGAGTCATTAGAGCCAGAGAGGACGTTTTCTAGGGCAAGAAGGATATGTTCATAGAATAGATTACGAATCACATGCAAAACTGTCGAGAGAATTAAATGTACGGGCAATTAGCTGCGTCAAGGGCTCATACGGCCCCTCCATAAGAACGGAATGGGTTTAATTAGAATCCTAAGGCTAGAAGGTAACTCTTAGGATGTTGAGGATGATAGTGGGCATTATTTCAACTAGTATTAGAGCAAGTAGGCGCTGTAGATATTTCTCACCACTATAAGTCGTTCATTCGTTCGTTTAAATCGTCTCTTCGTTCGTTTAGCCGTTTGCAATATTTTTAAACCATTCAACCGTTTAAGAAATTTTCGACCGTTCATACGGTTTGCCCATGTATGGCTAGTTAGCCATTTCTCGTACATAGCTAAGCGTAGGGGCAAAGCCTCGCGCGTCGAGCTTCCTTACGTATTGTACAATCGCCTCCTCTTCATGCCTCTAGAGCTTTAAGCAATCAGGTTGAATATCGCATCGTAAAGCCTTTCCAGTGCGTCGATTGCAGAGAGTGCTTTCATGTACGTTATAGAGGTGCGCAGCTCGTCGCTAGGTAAGTAACGCATTTAATTTAATAGCTTAGATAGCATAGATAACCCTGTCTTCAGTAGGAAACAAGTCAAGATGAAGTAGTTAAGACATTATAATAGAAGGTTAAAAGTAGTGTAAGCTTAGCAGAGTGCGCATTTCGATAGTGTGCGCATTTCGATGGTGGGGCACGTTATTCAAGTTTAGCTCAAATCAAAAACAAATCAAGCTATTCAAATCAGATCAATCAAGCTTTAACTTAATTTTGAACCATTGCAAGCCCTGCCAATGCCCCATAATCAGCCATCGTTAACCGTGTGAGAGGGTAGAGAAAAAGGGGGAGGGGGGAAGCAGCTGCAATGGCAGGAATCGGGGGTGTCAAAAGAACGTCTCGGTGTAGACTATCGCACAATACCCGCTGGAGCCCATAGCTAGTCCGCAGACTCCGCAACAAGCAATTAAGTAAGTCCCGGCAGGTTCTAATTAGATTAACCAATTACCTCTTTAGGCCTAACAATTTTCTATAGAAGTTTAACTCCTACTTAGATAGGCAAGGAGGTCTCTAACAAGGTACAGATTAGATTGCTTGTTGCGGACTGTGCTAATTCGCTTAGAGGCATTACGTACCAAATACACTTGTCGTCGCTGATCCCCACAAGATAACAGTTCGACCTAATCACGCGTGTCTGCCCATATGCTAGCAGACCGCAAACGTTGCTAATGTTGTCCATGCCCCCAATACTCATTCATCGAACGTGTGCGCTAAGCTGCACTATACCCATTCCCAGAATCGAAAACTTAGGCGTATCCCAACATCGGCATCCCCGCACGGAAAGGTGATGGCTAGTTCACGTCCCCAGCATCCAGGTTTGGCGCATCTAGCTATAGAAGCTGCTAGACCCCCATTCCATATTACCGCAGAACACGTCCACGGTATACAACTAGTCCCAGTCCACCAGCGTCAGTATAACTCTCGTCGTCAAGTCTAAAAGTCGGACTCCAACAGGGCATAGCGACCATCCCCAGCCGTAGGCAATCAACCACGAACATCGTCCCAATAGCAGTATACCAAATAGCTACGGCCACGCCATCAGTCCCTCACATCCCAACGGGCCGCCATATCATCCCCAGCCGCCAACACCTGCTCAGCAGTACGCCCCTCCTGTTACACCTTACGCGCAGACTCCGTACATAAACAACTATGACACCGCACAGCAGATACGGCGAAAGCAGGTGCGTATCAGGCAAGCCTGTAACCAATGCCGTTCGCGGAAACAGAAATGTAGCAAAGTTCAGCCGTGCCAATTCTGCAGAGAGAACAACTTCAACTGCCAGTACAAGGAAGTCCCGCCACCCAAGTGCGTTGCCTCTTCCCTCCCTTTAGTTCATCGCTAACCTTTCCTAGGCAAGACAGAAGCATGATGCAGCTTCAAGAAAGTGTAAACAGCATCTCTAAGGTTTTGTCGCAGTTTGTAGACCAGTTCAACAGCTAGAAATCAAGTGTTAAGAGTAGGCTTCCACAATCGCGGAACCACGAGATAATGTCGAATCACGCTTCGCCTGAAACCTCTTTTTCCGCACCCCCAAGAGAGCATAGCACATCCAGATGGCCTACCCCTATACAGGGAAGAGGACACATAGGTTATGTCAACAGCAACCTGAAAATGGAATTGCCCATCGCTCCCCACTCAAACATAATATCGCCACTAGGTGCGCAAGCATCAGCTTCTATCAAGCAAGAGTCGCAATTCGCTCCGCCTCTTCAAGGACCAGCAACACCTGCCACAAGTGTAAGGACCAACCGCAGCCATGCTACTAAAACTAGTCCCAAGGAACAAACCGGCCTGCAAGGTAATCACACTACACCAGCGCACAAGTTGCTAGACGAGTGGCAACAGATAAGCATCTTCTATCAAGGTATTCCGTATCTAAGAAGGCTGATAGATAACAGCCGTAGAGTCTTAGACTACCCAATGCAGCTTAAGAAGGATCGCGGACTATTGCGTGTCTGGGGTGTTAGCGAGGGCTAAGACCTAAACGACGGAGCGCAAGGACCTAAAAGCCCAGAAAGCAGCAACGATTCAGAAGCCCCTTCACCAGCGCCTAGCAAAGAAGGACTTTAGGGCTACCCATTTTCCGAAGTCGAGAATAGAACACAAACACCAGGCAGCACACCTCGAGAACATTTCCTGCAGCAGCTGCAGCAGCAGCTGCAACAACCACAGCAGGAGAACGGGCTTCGCGCAGATAGTCGGCCCGACTTTCAACGCCATGTCATGTTTAACCTGCTCAGGTCCTACATAGAGACCATGCATATTTTCCATCCTTTCATGAACGAGAGCAAGCTAAGACGTATAGTCAAGGACTTCAGTGACCAATACAGTCCTAACGCGAAGCCTTTAAACGCCCACTCCCCTGCTCCCGTTCGCAGAGTCAAGCGAAAGCACTTGGCCAGCAATCTCGATGGACTTCCATCAGGTCGTGGTGAGATCGAACAGTCGTTGCGCAACGCGATTGTACTACTCGTTCTTGCCCTCGGTAAAGTCTGCTCGCATACAGAGCCATTACCTGCGCCGCAAAATAATCAAACCCCGTACGTCCACAGTAAATAGGGATACATTCGGAATTCTCCTCGTCTCAACGGGAGTTTCAACAGCGTCAACAGCAAGACCTACGACAAAAGCCACCCGCGGAACATCGATCTACTACCTAGTATAGCCTATTATGCCTATGCCACCAATATTCTCGGGAACCAACAAGGAGGTAACACTGTCGCGCATGCGCAAGCTATGCTGCTAGCTGCGCTATTCCTTAGTCAGTATGCACGAGTACTAGAGAGTTAGAGCTAGATTAACAACGCTTGTCAGATTGCTCTAGTTCTCATCAAAGCCGACTACACTAAGCTGCTCCGTGTGAACAGCAACAGAAGACATACCTAGAGTTCAAGGGAGCGCTACAGACTCAATCTCGTAATCTGTGTCTACTAGACAGCTCTACAGCTGGAATCGGATATTCTAGCAGAAATAAGTACTTTACCGCCTTCCAGCATATCTGCACATCAAGGCGAGATCATGTACCCTAAAGGCGTCAACAAGAACTAGTCCCAAGACCAGGATAGCAATTTTGTGCAGCAAGATGTAGAAGTACGCGCAGGCCCGAGACAAGACTTAATGATGAAGCTGTACTCCACGCAGACATTCCTACGAGTGGTCCTTAACGTAGCGCATAATGCCCTGTACGGTCCCAGTAGCCGCAAAAGGTTCGACCCTACCAGCTTCACGGAGGTTGCTCACCATGCGCTCACCCACAAGGAGATTCTAGAAGGCTGGCGGAAACTCCTTACACCAGAACTTGCATAGTCGGACGACGAGTACCCCTCGACTGATCTCAATATCGCTCGTGTACGCGCCAAGTATTATGGCGGCCTATACATAACGTTGCGTCCCTACCTCAAGCTTGCGAGCCACACGCTAGAGTTCCCACCTCCGCCTCCTAGTACAAATAGTATTACACAGCATAACTCGCTATCACCTTATGGAAACGCGGCTTCAAACCGAAATGTGCAGATAGTTAACCTAAGCGGAGACCAGCACAAGATGATCAAGATCTGTTGCCAATGTATCAACGCTGCTATCCAGAGTACCATCGCCTTCAATCGTGTAGGCAAAGAGCCTAGCAGCATATACCAATACTTCCAGCCTACGCGCAAGAAGAGGCTTATCGTAACCAACATATTTAGTACACTTCACGCGTAAGTCCATGCCTTACTATGTAATTAGCGCAATCGACTAACATTCAATCTAGACAATTCGGCAATATGCTCGTACTAGCCTCAGTGTACAAATCCAAATTATACCGCCTCTTACCCAGCGACACATAGCTTACGAAAGCCAACCTCACCGCACTATTCAAACGTACCATCGCCGTTATCAGCGATGTAGCGCAAAACTCGCCCACCCTACGCATGGATCTCAAAATTCTCAAGAACGTTCAGAGGCAACAGGGTCTCGAATGAGACGGATAACATTGGCATAGAGCCTCCTGCCTCGCACTTGTACAGGCGAGATGCCGTTCGTCTAGCGGTACGATCCCAGTCGCCAGTCGCCAGCCAACAATCGTATTCGCAAAGCCTGAAGGTGGAGGGATACCACCGGGAGGTCATAGTTGTCTTAGCCAAGGTAGTCGAAGACTTTCCTCTCTCGACGGCAGTACCAAAGAGAGCTTATCATAGAAAGATCCAGTAGACTAAGTCGCAATAGGCCCACATGCGTTTTAGGACTGCCGCCAATAGTGACAGTAACCTTGTTCTAGCAAGCACTCAAAGATGCACATCCACCAACGGAGCCGATAGTCAACATCCAGATCAACATGCCCTAGGCAGGAAACCCGGGATTCCAACATCCACATGCCGAAATCACAGCTTAGAGAAAGGTAGAGTGTATAGTAACAACAGGTACCGATAGCCGTACTTGTAGAGTTAATAGTCCAGGGACGGGAAGGTAAAGAGCTGACCTGTGCCGCAACAGTCTAATAGCGTAGCAAGTTACAAGATGTCATGCGCTATATAGACTGTGCATACCATAAAAAATAATATACGTTGACCTTGTAGTCTGTGACATCGTAGCGTTCTGTACATCATTACATCTACGTCTCTTTCATTTTGTAAGCCTAGGACCACATCACATGCTCTGCAGCCATAACTAATGCGTCCGACTATCTCAGAGCTCAGACACACACTTATACATACACACACACAACAATACACGCATACATAAGACCTATACTACTATCACCCCTTGCTTACAATAGATATGCAGAGTAGTAGTGTTGTCCATAAGCCGCCCACAGCACCTGCACCTACAGTAAACAGCCGCAGCCGTAGAATACTTCAGCCACGTAAGTTTTAATAGCGAATACTGTCGCATAGGTCTATAGACTGCTCCACCCAAAAATCTAGTCAAAATAGCTATTGTATGTGCCACTACAGCCTCAAGTTTGCTAGTAATAGTTAGGGCCGATTCCGCGCGCCGTCACCAAATGCGTCGAATCCGCCAAAACAGCGTCTGTAAGCTTAAGGCTGTAGAGCTACACACAATAGCTATCATCACAAGAATCTTTAGTAGAGTGCTCTATTAGCCTATGCAACAATATTCTTTTACATATATTAATTGTGTAGTGTAAGCCTAGGACCACATTACATGACTGCTCAGCAGGCATGACTAACGCGTCCGTCTACTTAAGAGTTCAGATCACACACTTGTACATACACACAACAATACACACAACAATACACTCATACACAAGACCATACACTACCACCCCCTGCTTACACATTCTCTAAGCACTATGTTCCGCCTTCTATCCAGAACAACTTCCTGTTAGTTCAGCAGCAGTTGTTACAAGTAGCGCAGTTCGTTAGCTACCACTACGTAAATATAGAATTATAAGGCGCTCTTCCTACAGGATTTAGACTTTGCTACTCTTTAGGCTTAGCTACTAAGGATTCAAGTCCAAGATATGCCTAAGAAGGATAAGGCAGGATATCTAAGCGCGGGCACCGAGCGCACACTCGGTCCGCACATATGCCTTCGCACTACTATAATCAATCATTCACATGTGTCGCAATCAAGCTTAGTTAGAACAGGACAATTAAGGAGCACTAAGACGATCGCATCGTACGTGATTGCGGGTAGCAGTGCGCGTCATACTTTCATCTCTCTTACAGAAACCAACAGATTCTCCTATTACATCCTACCTTAACCGTTTCGCCTATAGCGGTACGGCCGCGAAAGATCAGCTTCTTCCGCTGCAAAGACTTTACTAGTATAGCTAAAGCAAACGTTATAATAACGCAACTAGCATAAGACGTTCTTACGCTTACAGAAGTGGTCTAAGCTCAGGCGCCTTTCGGACACGCAAGCCCAGCTATTAATACCCTAGCTTACTGTTCTAAACATGTTGCAGAGCTCGATTACAGACTAGCAGACGCATCCTACAGAGGCAGACGAACACTCCCTTCGTTATTTCTAAGGCGCAGTGTCTTTTTAAGTCTACAAGCTAGTACGCTATAGCAGCAGTAGAAATAGCTGCGTGTTTTTACTTCTTACTTCTTGCGCCTACCCTGCATAGAAGAGTCGCGAAAAGATCAACAACCATAGTCTCTACTCAGTAACGAGGCCATTAAACATCTTCTGCCTCTTCCTCCCCTGTGCATACTTAATCCTTTCGTTTTCCTCCTGCAACGCATCCCTCTCTTTCTCGATCCTTTTAATGTAATCAACAGCGGCCGCTATCACTACGGCTTTTCTTGGCTTAGGCTGTCCTATGGCATCACCCTCGCCGCTTTGTGGCAAGGTCGACACCGCTTGTCGTAACCTCTCGAGCTCTAGGTTCAGGCCCTCGCGGTACTTACGCTCGACATGGTTGTGCGGAATTCGGTTGCGGCGTTGCTTGCACGACCTTCCCGAAGATGTTGAGAAGAATTCAGCCTCGTCGCTGCAATCGAGGGGCGGGCGTCCCCGCTTGCGCCATGGGCGCTTTGACGTAGGTTCGTCTTTGTGCTCGATTGATGGCGGAAGTGGTTGATGCGTCAAGATACGTCGCGAGACGGTTGCCTCCGTTGCGTCGCTGCAGAGAGAAGGGGTGCATAAGCAGTCATTGTCTGGTAAGATGCAGGCTAATTCACCCAGAGGATCGGTCGAACGTCCGCAAGAGATCTGATCGAGCAGTCCGAACGGAGTGAGGTTGGGGGCTTGCTGTAAAGCAGATTTGGCAGTCGCGGTCGTGTTTGGCGCAGTAATGCTGGTTGCCGGCAATGTTAGATCGAAGCAGCTCTGTGTCTTAGGTAGCAAGTCTGAAGCCACCTCGAGCGATGCCGTTGTCTTGCCAAAGAACGAGTCGGTGTCAAAGAATTTGGACAATGAGTGATCGTGAGGCGTGTTGGAAGCGTCTGGAAGGTGAATGTACGTGCAGTAGGCTTCTTTAGAATCATTTGGACGAGACAGCTCTTGGAGATAGGCCAGACAGCTAGCACAGACTACACTAGGATGACCTAGGAAGTCCATTATGCGATCGTAGAGGTTGGCTGATGCTCGTGAGCTGTAGATATGGGAGAGTTTATAACTCTAGAAAGTAGCCCTTAGGCTGCAGTCAGAGGAAGACGTATTGATTTGGAACCAAGAAATGAGCAGCGTATATATACCAACAAGCTTTTAGCTAGTTGGGGCCATAGTTTATAGGCGACTTCAACACAGCTATAAACGACTGCTTGCGACTGCGAGGAATCGCTTGCAACTAGGGACATGAAATCCATGCGTATGTGCGGGCAGGTGGGCCACCTCTGTGGCGAGGCGGCCAGCCTGTGCTGCTTGCGTTGTTAGGGCCCCGCAGCGACCGTTGCACCGGGTCGGCTGGCGGTAATAATGTCGTCTTTCCAGCTGCATGTTATCAAGACGAAGAGATAAGCGCGAGCAGATCGGGTTCGCCGACAGTGGTTCAGCCTAGCCATACTAATGCAAGCTTTAGCCTTTGTCAGCTCTAGCTTGTGATGATCCCCAAGAAGGATCGAAGCTATCCTTCAACGCGGTTGGGATCTGAGAATCGACTGCAACGCAGGACGTAGGGGTGAAACTCAACAACTTCATGCGAACACCTTAACTCCAGTCTCGTGTAGCCGCTCAGTTGGGTTGATTGAAGCGATGATAGCTCTAGCTCGAAGAGAACGAGTCGAGCACTGGCTCCTGCGCCTATGAAGAATTACGAGCAAGAGAACGAACGAACCCGTTGTAAGGCTGCCAATAACCCGCATTTTGGCGGGAATCCAGATCTGCAGTTGACACTGCCCCTTCAGACTTCTCTATAATAAGCCGTTACGCGGTGACGGTGTTGTTGCCGGTTCGTGTAAAGAGCGCCTTTGACCTAACGCGATCCTACAGGTCCTAGGGTAGGTTTCTTTTGTCAAATAATAGTACGTTGACAGGTTCTCAACAATGGCCGGAACAAACGGCACAGAAAACAGCGTCCTAAGGTACCGGTGTTCGCGCACGGACTTGATGATGCTGCTACTGCAACTGTACCTACTGCATAACCGATGCGGCAGATCCGCATTGCAGAGTTGGCTTGACATACGCTAATGCGAGAATACATGCCACAAGTGTACCTACTACCTCCAAGCGACTGCCCTAGATTCCACTGCGACCTTGAATTAGCGCGGGTTCCACACCCCTGTTTTCGCCTCCCTTACGCCCCCTGCCTCCTCTACCTCCTCCTCCGCCTAGGGGTTAGCCATCTCAACTCGCATAAGATATCTAAAGAGGCCATTTTGTGCAAAATTACCGCATGATTCCAACACCGTCGTTGGTTTGTTGATACCTAATCACGCTGTAGAGATATCGAGGTGTGAAGGTAGGGTGCAAGTTTTGATGTTCCTCACGTGATGGCTGCGCGCACAGCCACTGTAGCGAGATTCTAGCCACACGATCTTGAGGAGAAATGTGGCGCGATTTCAACGCTGCGCCTCGCTTAGCCCTACAACGTACAACAACAAAGTTATTAAGGAAAGAGTGCTAGAAAGACTCGTATATAAGCAAGTAGTAACGTAGGTGCATGCTTCGCGGTCCAGCAGGCTTCGCGGTCCACCTGTGCCAAGACCCCACCAAAACAACCTTTACGGTACAATGCCTCAACAACAACCCCAAGTAGAACGACTAAAGGAGGCTAGAATACAGCTTGCGCTTCAGGCTATTAAACAAGACGCGAATCTCCCATTGCGACCCGCTGCAGCTAACTACAACGTCTCTTCTACAACACTACGCCGTCGATGCGCCGGACGACCCTCACAAGCAGATCGCAAGCCTACAACGGTGAACTTAGACAAGACTGAGGAGGAGGTGATTGTTCAGCATATACTTGACCTGGTTGAGAGAGGATTCCCCCCTCGGCTCGCAGATGTAGCTGATATGGCTAATTCTTTGCGCGCTGAGCGCGATCAAGGCCAGGTTGGCCCAAGATGGCCCAGTACGTTCGTTAAGCGCCGCCCTGAGCTCAAAGTCAAGTTCAATCGAAAGTACGACTACAGTAGAGCCCTCTGCGAGGATCCTAAGGTTATACAAGGCTGGTTCCGCCTAGTACAGAACACGAGAGCCAAGTATGGCATCCAGGACAAAGACACGTACAACTTTGATGAGACTGGCTTCATAATGGGCGTGATATCGACTGGCGCGGTAGTCACGGCAGCGGACCGTCGAGGACGGCCAAAGACAGTGCAGCAGGGCAACTGGGAGTGGGTTACAGCCATCCAGGGCATTAACGCGACGGGGTGGGCGATTCCACCCTTCATCATCTTCCAAGGCAAGCACCACCTCTCCGCCTAGTACAAGGAGGAAAATCTGCCTCAGGATTGGGTTATTGGGGTCTTTGAGAATGGCTAGACGACAAATAAGCTTAGTATTAAGTAGCTAGAGCACTTTGACAGACATATAAAGGGGAGGGTTGTTAGCAGTCACCGCCTGCTCGTTCTTGACGGTCATAAGAGCCACGGCTCGATCGATTTCCACCAGCTCTGCGAGGAGAAGAAGATTATCACCCTCTGCATGCCTCCACACTCGTCGCACCTACTGCAGCCGCTTGACGTTGGCTGTTTTGCGCCGCTAAAGAAGGCGTATGGGTACTAAGCTAAGAAGCTGATGCGTAATAAGATTACCTACATTACGAAAACAGAGTTCTTACTGTGCTTTATTGCTGCCTACAAGGCCTCTATTACAAAGAGCAATATCCTAGGAGGCTTTCGAGGCGCTAGCTTAGTTTTATTTAATCTAGAGGCTGTTATATTAACGATTAACGTCTGCCTGCGTACTCTACCGTTACTTACTGTTAAGGACAGTCCCTAGCAGTTGCAAACCCTAAGCAATACTGTAGAACTAGGGTCTTAAACAAAGCTAGTTCTCGAGAGGTTTCAGAGGCATGTAGATAGCTCGCCTACTTCGATGGTTGAGGCGGTGAAAAGCCTCTCTAAAGGCGCAGAGATGATGGCGCATCAGATGGTATTAATGCGCAACTAGGTCGCTGAGCTTCAAGCCGCTAACGAAGCTGCTACGCGACGTAAATCACACAAAAGAAAGCGGATTCAGAGAGAGGGTACTCTTGTAGTTACTGAGGGAGTTCGATTAACAACTCTAAAGGAGTTTAACGCGAGTAGTGATGAGAAGAAGGCGAAGAAGAGACCGCGCGTTGAAGTAGGCGGTGTGATGGGCTAGAGCCCTTTGCTCTCTTATCCTCGATGATATCTCGGTTCTTCGTCCTGCCCGACCTGATAGTTGCCCGGACAACAAGCGAGCCTACCTCACCGCTCTTCACCTAGGTATATATAGATAGCTACGTAGCCTAGAGCTTAGCTCTCTATCGAATACAACTCCAGTATACCTGTGCGATAGCTCCCTGAGCGTAGCCCCTTACAGTAGGTTATTAAATTAGTAGCGTAATTCTGCACAAAATAGCCTCTTTAGATTCACTCTAGTACGTCTAGTAGCTAACTCTAAGTTGCTAGAGTCCTACTCTAGAGTTCTAATTCTCCCCCCCCCTTTCCCTTCTCCTCTCTGTTTCTTATCAGTCTTTGTCACGGTAACCACCGTGGTCCCCTTGACACCGAACGCGCCACAGAGTCCGGGTGCTCCGCCAAGCACCCGGATTCTGCTGATTGGCCGGCCAGGCCTAGCGCTACGCGCACGGCCCCTCATCGATGACTTCTCACCGCCTGTACATGCTAGTTCTGTTTCCTTACGCAACGCCTTGTATTACACTAGATATCGTACGTAGCCACAGTTAACGCTTCTTTTAAGCCCTTAAACCACGTGCTCGTAGCGTCTCGTGACAGTCTTACTAAAACTAACTAGAGTCCCACTAGGACTCTATCTGTCCTCTCGGGTATGGTTAGCTAAGTGACGGGTAACGAATTCATTGCTGGCTTTTGGAAAAGTCGCATTATAGAAGAGCTATGTTGGTTTAGTGAGAGATCTGGAGCAGAATTATTATGGTAGAGAGCACCTTCATGGAGCTGGGCTAGTTGCGATGGAGGAATACGCATGAGCTTAACGACGCGTAAACATTCGCAGCATGCAAGCCATCATATCGAGGCAGAGTTTGTTGATCTTACCGTTAAGGCTAACGCCTCTAGGAAATTAGAGGAAGCATCGATGAAGATTAAATGCAAGCTTCTGTATGCTCTTTTGACAATAGACTCTGCGGCAGACCCTGGACCACGTCAGATTCAACTGGAACTGTTTGATGATGACTGCGATTCGACAAATATTAACCTGTCTAGTCGCGTGGCACACTTGAATGCATGGTATTATTAAGATATTGATGACGGAGAGTTCCCCGAGCCAGAGTACGGTTATGTAGTGGTAATTCAGCAGTGCCTTCACGAAAGAGCCTCTAGTATTCCTGAAGTTATTAAGGATTCTGAGGAAGGAGAATACGGTGAGACATTCTTTGATAACGAAGTCGAGGCGCTGTTCATGAAACCATACGATGAAACCGGCGAAACATTTAAAAGAGCGGGACCGATCTGCCCTTATAGTTGCCGAACAATGCATTGAATCCTCGAGGCGCATCGTTCGGCAGAGAAAAGGGTGATAACTCTTATATAGTCACGCCAGTATAGACTACGGGAAGAGAAAACAGGAGGTGTAGTAGAATGTATCGTATCTTCTTCTTGTTACACAGGATTCTGTATGATTTCAATGCCCGTGTCCTTTTTCTTATTTCTATTGTAGCATCTATCTCTAGGCTATCGAGCATCATCTCGATGGGTAAAGAATACAGTAATGTTTTCATCTCCTTCTTATTGTGTATAGATGTGTATGAATCTGCAGTCTCCGAAAGAATGGAACGCAACAACGACGAAAGGACATTGTGTACTACTCTCCAAATATAAAAGCATCGACCTCTTTCTTAGTCTTCATCCCCAATATTCTTCAACCCACCCTGTGTAGTCCAAAACGCATCCCAGGCCTTCTGCCACCGCTCCTTCTTCAGCCCATCCAGCCACTCCTTCACCGTGCGATCTTTCTCCCCATCAATCCGAATAACCCCGTTCTTGATGCCCTGCCAGCTCTTAATCGGAGCTTTGATGTAGCGGTGATTCGGGCCGCAGAAGCTAAGCCACGGCTCTGGGATCTCGCCTGCCGTTTGCTTCAAGCGTTTCTTATGGCACTCTTGACAGAGATCACAGTTGGGACAGACCAAACAGAAAAAGAATGGTTGACTCCAGGAGTCGATGAATGTGCCGCAGCCGCCGTCGCAGCCGATCTTGACGCCGTTGAGATCTTCGTCGGCTTTGGTGATGGTTGCGATGGTGGGAGCCTTGTCATCTAGGGAGGGTACACAGTTCACGACTTGGACTGAGTCGTCGTTCGTAGTAGCTGGCGCCGTATTGATGAGAGTACGTGTCGTGGGTACGAGGGATTGCGTCGTATCGATGAGAGCCTGTGATGTAGGTACAATAGACTCCGTCGTTTGCACCAACGTCGAAATCGACCTGTTCGTGACAAGCTGTATAGGCTCGATGCTTGCTTCGACAATCTCGTTGTTCGTTGTCGCCTCGTCATTAGCGTCTGAGTCAATATTCTCCGAGTCCGAAGCTGACTCCGCGATATCGAAATTAGCGCCCTCCCCATAAAGGGTACGGTCCAGGACGGAAAACTGCGCAGAGCTTGCGATCATCGCATCTCTCTCCAGTCCGTCCAGTGAGGCGAGGACCTTGGCTAGCAGTCGTAGGTTGCGTGAGTCGTTCCAGGCAGAGTCATCCTCAAGGCCGCGCATGCACTCGTTGAACAGCTCATTCATGTACTTTTGGTACTTGATCGCGGGACCCATGATGCGAAGCATATTCGTGCGAAGCATAGTGATGTGCGTGCCCGAAGTGTTGTCTTTGTCGTCTTGCTTGCTATTTTCGTCGTCTGCGTTCCGAGAAAGCTTCAGGTCCTCGATCAACTGTTCCTTCTTCTTAGGGTCGATAGACAACTGGAACTCGTGGAAAGAGATGTCTGCAAGCTTCGAGCGGATTGCCGATTGCGCTGCCTTCATGCTGTCTTTGTACCACGAGTCATGCTTCGGTTCCATCTCCAACATCTCAAAGCGCACGCTTCTGCCTTTCTCGATATCGCCTAGCACCGGGTGATACATGATTGCAATCGCGGCTTTGACGTTGAACAGGTAATAGCTGTTGGCCGGAATCTTGTTGGCCAAGGTTGACAGCCAGGAGAGGAGTGCATCGGTTTTGTTGGCCAGTTTTGCGGCTCTCAACATACGCATCAGTGCGCCCCGGCCCATGCTTGTCTCAAAACAATAGAAGAACCAACTGTTTCGTTCTCTCTCTGTCCAACCCGCAAGTACGTTCATCAACTTGGATCCATCTTTGTCATTGTCTTCGGTGAACAAGAGAGTGATGTCGTCTAGAACGGAGCCCACCACAGACTGTTCGCCCAATATACCTCTGGCTTGATTGAACATGCGCACCGCATTTTCCGTATCGCTTTTCTTCGCGTACGCGCCCGCCTTGGCGATGGAGATGTCCAATCTCACGTCGTCGACATCTGCGTGACCCTCTCGAGATAGTCCCTTTACGTGCGGGGGCAACATTGCGTACGCCTGATCGTACGACTTGATTGCGTCAGCAATCTGATCATTCAAACTATACATTGATGCCAATATGCGAAGTGCTGCCACCTTTTCCAGATTGTCTTCTTTCATGAGAGTGACACTCTGCTCCAGGTACACGATACTCGTCTCCATCCATCTCCTTTGGCGCACTTTGTTTGGCTCTCGGTAGGCGTAGTCGGACAGTGTCGTTCCGAAAGCCCTGAATGCTTTGTAGCAAGCAATGGGGACATCTCTTTTCTCCTCGATGGCTCTGATATCCAGGAGTGGCTCGGCGTCGTTAGGTTCAAAGTCATCCATCTGTATCTTGTTAGAGATATCTTTGGATGAGGACGTTGGCTTACAAGAAGAAGAGCCGCTTTGGCAAACCGAAACTTCTCAAGGATCCACACTTGATCGGTCGCATTTAACCAGTTCTGAACATGCCCCCTGGCCAAGGGCAGCAGAACATTGGTGCACTTGACTTCGCGTATCCAGTCTCTAACTTCAATTTGCAAAGACTCCGCTACACGTGGCTTGGCCTTGGCAAGCCAGGGGAGAAGTATGTCAATCCAGGGAATAGCGATGCCATCGGCCCGCTCCGGATAGATATCTGTAGGCCTTGCCAATCTCTCGAACAACTTGGCCAAGTTGTTTTGGTTCTGCGTGATGCTGTACAATGACGTGACTACCTGCCGGATGGCGTCATCTGTCATGCTTTTCACATCCAGCTCCTCCAGATGTTCGTACCAATTCTGTATCGCGTACATTGCAAGCTCAGAGCTTTGCTGATTCCCCGAGCTCTCAGCTGCCTTGATCATGATTTCCATGCACATCTGGAGGATAGTGAGATGCGCGGCGGTAGCAGGTGTTCGAAACTCGGTCTCGCTATCAGCTTCGACACCCGCACTCGTGAAAAATTGCCGTAGAGACCGATCTTGGAAAGCGAGAGGCAGCTTCCGATATTGAAGCTCAGGAATGATGTCGTCCTCCACGCTGTCGATATCAGCATCCTCTTCGTCGCCATCTACGGTGTCCCCATAGGTCTGTCGGGGCTGGTTGAGTTCGAGTATTCGGGATGAACGTCCAACTACCTCCTCTTCGACGTCAAATGTGTCGTCGGATAATGTCAGCTGGACCAAACTTGACGCCTCAGCTAGACTGAGTGAGCGCTTCGAGAATGCCAGCCACGCAAACAGCCTCTTCATGGCTTGGTATTGCGCATCCGAGCGACCACGGCGACATTCCGCCAGGAGAAGCCTGTAGAGATCATGTAGACTACGTGGCATCTTTTCCAACTCTTCTAAGACCGCTTGACCGCGGCCAATTGACGCGAACCTTCTGACCATGTGCTCGACGTAAAGCATGCTGTCAGCTTGCTGCACTACCTTGCGAATGATAGTCTTTTTGATAGCTGGGCTGAACTTGCGCACGCGTGGAAGGGTCTGCAGGCGGCGTTTCACAAGTTCCCGGATATCAAATCGGATGTTCTCCTTTCTGATGTCGATGACGGAAGGGTTGAGCAAGCCGAGTACGGCTGTTTCTTCTGGTCTGCTAGTTGCCAGAACTGAGATGTTGGCATTCTTACGCTTCAGATCCCTCAAAAACCATGACAGAGCCCCTACAGGCTGCAAGTAAGCTTCGTCTAAACCGTCGAAGACAAGGAATAGACGGTCCGTAGCCTCTTCACCGCCTGGGAATCTTGACAGAAAGAATCGCTTCCAAGTGGAGATTTCGTTCAGGTCTTCAGCGCTCTCCTGGAGGTCAGCTGCTACCTGTTCGGCATATTTGGTATGGGTATCCGCAATTTGAAGTGTAGCCGAGGCGAATGCGTTCTGCCTTGACTGCATGTAAGGGTACTCCTCTTTGAAATAGAAGTAAGCCACGCAGATGTGCTCATCCTGACGTTCGCTCAGATTTTCGACGATGGATTGTGCGAGGAATGACTTGCCAACGCCCTCGGTGCCTTTCAGCCAAAGTATGGGATCCTTACCATCCACCCAATTCTTGAAGCTCTGATGTTCGTAAACCCATTGGGCAGTATTCTGAACCCGCGAGCCGCACAGGTCTTCATGTATGGCCAAGTTCTCTCGATGGGCGTCCATCCAAAGAGGGAAGGTGGTTTGATTTCGAGTGAAGAATTTCTTGATCTCTCTCAAGGCTTGAAAATTGCCACCACTGGCATCGCTGTTTGGATCTGGATCCTGCATCTGTGGTTTCCCTTGGCCATGTCTTTGCCTGGAAAGCTCTGAGAGCATTTTGGCCATCGCGTTCTGACTTTCAACCAACTTCTCGTGGTTCTTAGCAATCTTGTGGTTCAACGCAATGCTCTCGTCCAGTCTAGTGTTCACAGTGTAGAACCCGTCTTTGATCACGACTTCTAGCTTCAGACTTTCCGCATATACCTGCTGAATGTCTTGCCCAAGGTCTTTACGAAATGAACTCAGTTTGACATCCAGGACGTCCATTTTGGATCTGTTGATGGCCATGTCATCCTTGACATCTCTGATGGCACTGTAGCTTTCAAACCCTATGGCCTGGTCGAGCTCTTCAATTGAAGCATGCATTGCAGCATACGCGGTTGTCAGCGTCTCGTCTTCTGCCTCCCACAAAGCCTTGAAAAACTGTTCTATAGGCGGTTAGCTAATATAGCGGTACCAGGAAGGATGCGATCTTACTTATACGCTTGCCTTTGCCTTGGATCAGGTATCTCACTCTTCCACATACGGTCAGTTGCTGTGAAAAAACTCGAACAATAGCGATGGCGACCGCATCGGAGTCTGCCCGGCTTTCACAGATCGCTAGTCGTTCAAAGAATCGCGAAGAGTACCCAAAAAACTCTTCGATGCGATCATACTCTGCCCTAACAGCTGAAAACGCCTGCTGAACTTTAGTACTCGGGTTGGCCCTTGATCGATTTCTACTTACCGATATTAAGCCACTTGCAGCCGTGAATATAAGACCCACTGGCATTGCGGGTGGAAACGCACCAGCAGCAGCTCCAATCTCAGCCATACCATTAATGCATTTCTGCATACTACCGAGATGATCACCCATGGCTTGTCGAAACCTGTCTCCCTTACCGCCGCTGTGTCTAGAGGTACCGAAATTCTCCATGCCGTCGTTGACCTTGTTCATCACTTCATTGATATTGCTCGCTTTCATGCCCTTGAGGTTTTCTCCACATTCCTTCCGATACTCTTCCAATGCTTTCTCCCATAGCCGACCGAGGTCAGTCGAGCTGCTTGTTTGCGCGGGGATTTTCGTCATGATGGGTCAATGAGAGGAAATGCTGAATGAGCCGCTCGAGAAACAAAGTTCAAAAGGGCCAGAATCGTTCTGCAGATGTGTTTGTGTCGCGATGTGTGATAGAGAAAAGAGATGCAAAGTCTTCAGCTCATTCATCAGCCGTACGAAGATCATGCAGATGTTAACAGAAATGTCCCTCCCTGCACTGTGGATACACAATTTTGAGTTTGGGTGTGACTGGGGTGTATACCTCCAGTCCATGGCCATGAAAGAGCCGCAGCGCCATCCTCGATAACCGCGTTAGGGTTTGCGAGCCGAATCATTGCCAATGTGGGAACAAGAGACATACGGTCAGCGTGGTGGGAGATCTGCTCCCGCGGCATGTATGACGGGATTGAGTCGCGTACGGGTGTCGATCATGAATACGTCGATCACACGGATCTGTGCGATGTACCAATAGGATCCATTATGCCGATGTGAGTGCGTGTCGGTGGGAAAGAGTGGAGTGTTCGGCACTGCGTTAGGAAGCAGCGCAGGCAAGGCTGGCTGAAAAGAAAATGATCAGTACCCACCGACGGCAGAGTCGTTCAATGGTAGGCCAGCCTCTCCTGCCGAACCTTGCTCGTGTAAATCAACGCATCAGATCCGATGTCAATCAAGAGTCCGCGCTCTAAAATACCGCAGGATCAGCAGCATACTTGAGCGCATGCGATGGCTGCTCAAAGGAATCTCTGTTCCCCATCGAATCTTAATACTCAAGGGAAAATAAACAAGACCTACTAGATCCAACGGATCAGCTCCTGAAGATCAGCCGAAGGATCAGCGCGTCAGAGAAGCTATCGTTGTCCTGATGATGATACGATTGGGCACGGCGGAGCGCTTTGTTCGGCGACTAGGGCAGATACCGTGTCCGTGCACACAATGCACGCCGTCAGTCAATGCACGCGATCGCGATTTCATCCCAACTTTACACCCTCTAACGTAGCTTACAAGCGAGTGCGCATTACAAGCGAGTGCGCACCCCACGAACTTTCTATAACACGTAACTCTCTAACTACTATGGCACCCCCAGCTACCTTCTTATGAGGCTAATATGCACCTTGCTATCTTAGGTCTTCAGCAAAATCAATTTCAGAGCGAGGCAGTCGCTGCACGGACGTTTAATATCTCTCGAGACACACTCCACCGCCGACGCGCTGGCAAGCCTGCCAGACGCGATTGCCAGCCCAACTGGAAGAAGCTCACCCAGCTAGAGGAAGAGGTGGTTGTCAGGCATATACTTAATCTTAATCAGCGTGGATTTGCCCCTACGTACAGTGCCCGTGCGCGGTATGAGCCACGTCGCAGGTTGAGCCACCCGAACATCATAACATCGAAATCGTCCCGACTTCAGCGCGTCATAACTCCACCACCATGGATCCAATTCAAAAAGCAATTAAATATATCGAATCGCGTGAACCAGGAGCCGAATTTTCGTACCACGAAGTCGCGAAAAAATTCAAAGTTGATCGAACGACGTTGTCGCGGCGGCACCAAGGCAGAACACGGTCATATGAAGCCCAGGCAGAACGCCAGCTGTTACTCAACCCACACTAAGAGCATGAGCTCATGCTATATATAGAAAGATGCGTACGGCGAGGCTTACCACCGACGCGAGAGACGCTGCGAAATTTCGCTGGTACGATCGCAGATCGTGAGGTTTTCGACAGCTGGGTTACTCGATTTCTTCATCGCCACGACGCCCATCTCATCACCAAATGGAGCGCTGGGATCGATCGCAACCGGCACCAGGCTGACTCTCATGAAAGATACAAGCTATACTTTGAACTACTTCATTCGAAGATGCGCAAGTACGACGTTGAGCCGCGCAACACCTACAATATGGATGAGAAGGGCGTCTTCGTCGGCATCACGCAGCGCTCGAAACGGATCTTCACCAAGGCAATTTGGGTGGCAAAAGAGCGTACAGCAGCGATCCAAGATGGCAGCAGGAAGTGGATAACACTTCTGGCTTGTGTGTGCGCTTCTGGTGAGTCGCTACCGCCAGCTCTAATATACTAGGGCTCATCAGGGATTCAATCGAGCTGGGTTGATGAAGTAGAGGCCGGAGAACATGAGATTTTCTTCTCTAACTCACCCACCGGATGGAGTAACAACGATATAGGTCTGGCCTGGCTCGAACAGGTGTTCGAGCGCTTCACGAAGCAGAAAGCAAGACGGCAGTATCGACTTCTTATCCTTGACGGCCACGGCAGCCATCTTACGAGCAATTTCATAGATTTCTGCGACTCTAACAAGATCCTTCTCGCGATCTTTCCCCCGCACGCTACCTATAGCCTTTAGCCGCTTGATGTGGTTCTGTTCGCACCGCTTGCCGCAAATTATTCTCGAGAACTTGATCGCCACCTCCACCGAACGCAAGGGCTTACAACCGCGAAGAAAGATAGCTTCTTCTCTATCTTCTGGCCGGCGTGGAGCTCTACAATGAAGCCAGAAGCGATTCTGAAGAGTTTTCAAGCTACTGGAGTGTGGCCGATGGATGCGGAGGTTATACTGAAGCGCTTCAACAACCGCACTTCGAAGCAAGATGAGGCTTCAAAACTCGGGCAGCACGGCGATGGTGATAGCTGGATTCAGCTCCGAAAGTTATACCACGCTGCGGTGCCGGATAAGTCCAAAGTTGAAGCCAAGCAGCTCGAGGCTTCATTCCACTCTCTACAGACGCAAAACGAACTCCTCCACTACGAAAACAACAATCTTAAACGCGAGATTACGAGCAATCAGAAGCACAAGAAGAAGCGGTATAAGCTAGACCTTCAGCAGCGCGAAGAGTATCATAGTGGTGCGGGCTGGATTTGGGGACGATGATTTCTGCGGAGGCAAGCTATCTGACGAGGATATTGACGACGCATACCAGCTACGTGATTGGGAAATCGGCAGCTAAAAACAACAAAAAGTCACCAAGCCGACCAAGCCTTAACTTCTAATAAGCTTATCAAGCCAAGCCTTAACACAAAATATCTCTATCAAGCCAAGCCGGAGCGGTTGGCTTGTTCAGCTTGTTCATTGAGAAGTCTGGCACGCTAGCTCCTCGCGAGCGTGAAGCAGACTTGTCAACAATCAAGCCGATCAAGCCGGTCTAACCTAATATGGTAATCCACTAACTCGCGGAGGTTAAGATTTTACTAAATGTAGTTAGATCGGCTTGATTGGCTTGATTGTTGACAAGTCTGGCGTGAAGTTATGCTACTCTACCTGAGTAGCACTCCCCAGCGTCGAACCTCCCTACTACAGGCTCTTACAGCGTTTGTATACTCTCTTGACTCTCTACGGATGCGTTGAACTCTAGCAGTTTCTAGGAGGACGCCTACGCAGCGAGAACAAGTCCTGACTGGCTTGCCGCCGATCGATCGCGCTTCGTTTTTGCCGTCGTACCCCCGCCAGCGCCATATAAAAAAGCGGAAGAGAAGGACATAGCTCCGAAACAACCTTCGTGTGCAATAGGACGCCGTAGCTGTGTCGCAGCAAGCTCGCCCTGAGGCAGGCGCTGGACGGCCTAGCCAGGCTCACTGTCACAAGTCGGCAGGACTTGTCAGTACGACCATCCGCGCTTGCTCATTTCCTGTATCAAGAACTATGCAGGTAGGGAAGTATGGTCAAGACGAGGCCCTGGGTATTCGCCAACCTCAAGCTGTACTGGGCTGAGTCTCTCCCATAGACCCCTCGTATTTGTTCTATCCCTGCTAATCGCCCGGTTTCTTGTGCACTCCGAAGAAGCCGGCCATCTGATTATCGCTATGTCGTTACGGCCACCGACTCATGCCATCTATGCCCTCGATCTTTCCATATCTCCCCGATCAGTCTCTTCTTACTTCCCACTTCCTCTCAACTGCGATAGCGTGGTCTGGACTGGCTAGTACCTGCTGTTGTTGGTGCTTGTAAACAGACGAGACGTGAACCATGTGCGAAGGCTTGATAGGTTGCAGCTCAACTTGCGAAGAAGTATCGTTGTTGTCCACCAATTCGGAGAACGTGGCAGTCGGGTCGAGACCATGTGTTTCACTTCCTTTCTTTGAAAAAAGACTAGTTTGCCTGCTACTGCCGTACTGATAGCTGGAGTGGGTGATCTTCCTTGACTTCCCGAACAAAGGACGCATGAGGGGAATGCACGCCAGAGCGATCGCGACCGCAGGCTCGAGACCGGAAAGGATTGTGGCAAGCACACCGCCGTACGTCATGTCCGCGAAGTCTAGGCCAGGCAGCAGCGCTTGTCGGTATATAGTAATGGCCCAGGTTCTGCCCCAAATGTCAGCATCAATAACAGAAGATGAGCTGTGCAGCGGCGCGCACTTACCCTGTTCCAATGCTGAGTAGGGCCATCGCGGCTAACTTCTTGCGCCAAGCCAGCCGCAAGTTGTAGAGATATGGCATTGGCAATACGATGATCACGGCATCCCTGATGAGGTTGACGAGCCCCATTGCGAAGTAAAACGCCGGTTGACTACCGCAAGTTCCTGGTAACGTAAAGTCCCAATTCCTCGCGAGCGGTCGGCATATCAACAAAGCAGCGATGATGTCGGCAATGTTCCACGTTACGATCAGAGCACCGAGAATACGGGCCCACTTCAACATAGATGACGTTGGTATCAGTGCCGCGTGCATCAATAAAACCGACAATTTGCTGAAACACACAGTGGCATTCCACAGCATCGAAAAAGACATTATTCCCTACAGCAAAAAGATAGTCAGAGGTTGCGAAGTCAGGAAGGGCCACTCGTTGGTCTCACCTTGAAGAAGAAGGTTGCCGTCTCAGGTCCAAAGCGTTGGTAAATCTCCATGGTATGGAATCCAAAGCCGCCATGTATAACCAATGAGATGCAGCAAGCGTGCAGTGCAGTGTTCCATAGCTGGTAGGTATGTCAGAACAGATGTGATTTTCTTATGCGATGTTTGACCTACTAAGGCTGCGATAATGCAATAATCACTGTAATCGATTCTGTTCCCGATGCTTTTGGCGACAAGACGCAGACCCACAGAGACAATGGCTATCAAGATAGAGATGGAGGAGGTCACTAGAATGCTGACTTGTTGGCCATTCTCGATGGAGATCATTCCCGTTATAATAAGATGAAGTTTGGCTTGGTGAATCTGTTGTGTAAATGTGTCCAAGGAGCGAAAAAGCTCAAACAGTTGCAGTTGTGCTCATTTATGCGGGACAGGAGTTCAAAATGTGGTCATGGAATTGCTTTCTCGAGTGTGCATGCACCGACTTGAGCTCACAACATCCCGAAGGAAGTGCTTTCTGTTCAATACCTGGGACATTGAGGGGCGGCTCATGGACTCGACAGCTTGGGGCTGATAACCAACAGCGACATGAGATACTATATGAACCAATGGGAGCGAGTCCGCACACTCCGCCTCTGCATATGCTATTTATTGTGGGTTGGTGACAGCGTTGCTTTTTTGGGGGTCGTGCTTACGCGGCATCTGCGGCCCGTGGAAACCGGGGCCTAGTGCATGCACGTGTCTCAGCTCACAACTCTCTCGTCCACACCACCACCACCGCGGAACTACAATGCATCTTCTTCAAGCTCTTTAACTTGCCTGCCGCGATTCCTGGATTACTTCTGGGTTTTTCAATCTCCGCAAGAGCTTGCCCCGCCAAGAGAGGTGTAACAAGACAAGCGTCTGCGACGCAATCTCGTTTTCCCTGTCCATCTCTGTATCACAAGCGTTAGCGCCAGTTCCAGCCGCTCTGACTGCGAAGTCGCATCGAAGTCATCCAACGCCTAGCGCTCCCCCCCCTCCTTTTTTTGCTTTTCGGCAGGCCTGCCATTATTCCCTGCTCCGGTTCCACAGATGGAACCTGATCAGCTCGAACCGGGTGGGAAGATTCCGTAGTCAGGGTGAGTTAGCAGACCTGTCAACAATCAAGCTGCAAACAAGCACTTGATTGAGGCTTGACGAAAACTGCAAGTCAATCAAGTCAAGCCTCCGCCTAGTAATTTTGCAATCAATCAAGCCTTAGTGGCAAAGGCTTGATTGATTGGCTTGATTGGCTTGGTGTTTTAGCGTTAATTTTGGTGAGGCTATTAAGTTTGCTGTGTAAGCTATCACGCAACAGTTTCATGGTGTTGAGTCTCGCTTACCGATACTAGTACTAATAACGTTAGTTAGCTATACTTCCACGACGACCTTTACGTGATCACATTCTTTTTAGAGCCGCTAAAGCCTACTAATTCGCGTATACCAACGCGTTATTTCGTGTTATACTTGCCTCTATCGTCGCTATGCCGCCTAATCAACCCCCCAAACGTCCGCGCAGAGACGCGTTTACACCAAACAAGCGCGCTAGAGTCGCTGCTCGTGGTACAGAGTCGCAGCCTATCGACGTCGACAAGAGCCAACAGCCAGCTCAGCGTCTATCACCACGCAAAGCCCTGGCGACTGCCGCGTCCCAGGCCACCGAGCCGCCCACCTTCGAGTTGCAGTTGCGCGAGAGCCAGCCTGAAGCCGCTATCGTAGCACTAACTGAGGGCAGCAGCGCCGCGACGGTTGCTACAACTGAGGATGACGAGGACGGCAATAAGGATAGGGACAAGGGTCCTGATGAGCGCTTTGCCGATAACTTTGACGGCATAGACTGGTCGCGTTTGCCGCTATATTGCAAGCCTGTAGCCACCCAGAAGCAGCGCAAAAGCTGGATATACCGCTATGGATACCGCGTTGCGCTTATCAAGGACCCCGATCGTCTCTTTTTCGTCTGTCGCTATTGCCACCAGCGCAAGTGGATAGACGCTGGGCAGGGCGGTATATACGAAACGAGGCTATCAACAACAACCTCAGCCCGCCATCTTGAGCAAGTTAGACGCGGCCATAACCTTACAGCTCCTAGTAAAACGCACAGCACAATGAAGGCAGGCAAAGGCGGCCTGCGCGCCCTATTAAAAGCCGCTAGCGTTAAGGTATCGCAGGGCCTTGCTAATGAGCTTGGGGGCTTTGATTGTCAGGCCTTTCGACATGCCGCAGTCGCCTGGCTTGTCGACGGCAACCACCCGCTCTCTGAGTTTCAAAGGCCTGCATTTAGACAGATGCTTAAAGCTGCAAACGTAGAGGCAGCTACGGCGTTGTGGACGTCTCACGCAAGCGTTTCACGGTACGTGATGCGTCGTTTCGACTTCATGTTACCCCAGGTTGTCATTGATCTGTCGAAGGCCCTTAGCAAGATTCACATCAGTTTTGACGGTTGGACAACAAAGGGCGGTAAACGCGGCTTCTTAGGCGTTGTTGCGCACTACGTTAACAGCGCTGGTGACCTTATAGACCTCCCTATCGCGCTGCCCCAACTAACGGGCGCCCATACTGGCGAGAAGATTGCAGAGGTTGTTAGCAAAACTCTGCAGCAGTTCGGCATCAACTCGCGTACTGTTGGCTACTTTATGCTCGACAACGCTACTAATAACGATACTGCTGTCCTTAGCATCGCGCAGCAGATAGGCTTAAATGCTGCCCATCGTCGCCTCCGCTGCGGTGCTTATACTCTTAACTTGATTGGTTAGGCTTTACTTTGGGGCAGCAATAACGATGCGTATGACAACGATAGCAGCGAGCTTGCTGTTAAGAGCGAGTTGTTACGCAACTGGCGCGAGGATGGGCCACTTGGCGTACTTCTTAGCGTAATCAACTACATCAAAACGCCGCAGCAGCTCGAGCTTTTTGAAAAGTTCCAGCGCCTAGCCAACGCTGAGCTGCCCCCTGATCAGCGCGAAGTACTTGCGCCTGCTAAGCCAGTCGTCACGCGCTGGAACTCGTATTGTTCAGCGTTTGAGCGTGCTGTTGAGTTGCAACCGGCGTTCAACTCGTATATCGCGTATCATATCGACAATCAGCTTGCTGCTGACAGTCACGCCAGAACCCGTAGAAATAAGACGCCCGACGCGCCTACATGGATGAGATCGGGCGGGCTTACAGCAAATGATTGGGCTGTCGTGAACGACTATATTGAGGTTCTCCAGCCGCTGAAGTCAGCTACAAAACGGCTCGAGGGCCGCGGTACAAGCGGCCGTTTTGGAGCGATATATGAAGTATTGCCCGTCTTCGAATACTTACTTGGAGAGTTTGAGCAGCGTTACAAGCCGTACGAGCTCGTCGATTACGAGGCAACTGGTGCTCCTGAGGATCACCTCGCGATCAACTTGAAGGTGGCGTAGGCAAAACTCAATAGATACTATCAAAAACTCGACGAGTCGCCCGTATACTACGCCGCTTGCTGCTTCCACCCGTACTACAAGCAATATTGTGATCGCGCTTGGCGTGACAAGCCCGGATGGATTGCTCGCGCAAATGAGTCCTTCCAGCAACTTTGGGGCAGTTACCAGGTATCCCGGAGCCCGAGGAGTCGCCCAAGAGAGCGCAAGTCCAACGCTATTGACGACGCTATCGCGGCAATCATGGAGGACCCATCGTCTGACAGCGACGAGGGCTTTGACGAGTACCAGCGGTGGCGAGCTTTTGAACCAAAATGGACGAAGACCATGTTTGAGAGCCCCGACAGCAATCCGATAAAGTATTGGATTGCTCTACGACCAAAATATCCCAACCTCACACGCCTTGCGATCGATATATTGACGATACCTGCTAGTAGTTGCGAGTGTGAGCGTATGTTCAGCGAGCTCGGCGATCTACTTACTCCTCAACGTCGCAAAATTAGTCCGCAACTACTCGCCGCGTTGCAGTGTATACGGACCTGAAAGAGTACAGGCGCCGCAATTGCTGGAGCTGTTACGGAGTCTCAACTCAGCGATAAGCAGCTAGACCAGCTATACGAGCTTGCACAATGGACTGAGTATAGCAACGACAACGATTGAAGCGGATTAGTATATCTAACAGCGCAGCTGGACTATAGTTAACTACTTCGCTTAACAGCTGGTTTCTCCACCAAAAAGAGCCCAACTCGCGAACCGTACTGTTCCGCAAACGCTGCCGAGATCGATCGATACACCTCCCGCTGCCCAGCACGCAACAATCAACTCCATACGGAGCTACGATCTCGCAATTGACGTCGGTTGACGCTGCTCGTTGCCCACTCCCCACCTCACCACCTCACCACCAGCGCCGGCGAGCTCGTCAACTCCACGATAGTTACTACAACTGGATCACGCGATTACGGCTGTATATATACTTAATCAAGCTACTTATCTCTATCACGAAACACTAGCTTAGTGTAGTTGCTCGCTCCTGCTAGACGTTGAATTGTATATAGGAGATTCGTCGCTCCTGTACACCTAGCACCTCCGGGTGATCCTTTACCAATACGAAACCGTGTTCCGCAACCTCTACAGTATACTAGGTAGTGACTAGTGGTTTTTTCAAAAAAAAAGTTTTTAGGACTACGATGGGTATGCAACTCAATACATAGGTATATTAGGACGGCTGCAATTTCGAAACACGCCTACGGACGCTATTATATGCCTCTTTTTTGCACCAACTCCAATACAACCACCTGTCTAAGATCTCACGATACCTGCCTAATCGGGTAACTAAAACTGCAAGTATTTGTCAAATCACCAATCAAATATGCCTGTTTCGGCCACCAAGTCAATCAAGTCAAGTACAACACTAAAAGAACTCCA